AAAAAGGCAAAGTCTTTAAATAGGGGCGACAGTGGCGTCAGATGTAGGAGTTTGCCCTGAAATTGAAGGATTGACGGTTCAAGAATCGGCTCTGACTTTCATTGTCGTTGTGTCCTTGGGCAAGACACTTCACCTGCATTGTCTAGTGATGGTGGTCAGAGGGCCCAGTGGCGCCAGTGTACGGCTGCCCCTCTTCTGTCAGTGAGCCCCAGGGCAGCTGTGGCTACAATGTAGCTTGCCACCATCAGTGTGTGCGTGAATGGGTGAATGACTGAATATAGTGTAAAGCGCTTTGGTCAAGTCTCCTAACTTGAAAAAGCATTATATAAGTACAGGCCATTTACCAGTTAGCATTTTAAATTGTTAAATGTTTGCATTGATTCAAGTCAATCATGAAATTCTTATGGTGATATACTTCAAAATAATTCATTTTAAGTTAATTCAATGGAAAATTGTTTAAAGCCTATGGAAATACACAGTATAATTTCTTAAATAATGTTGGATATGACATTAATGACATCAAATACATGTTTCTTTATTCCAAAAAAATGTCAAGCTATAGCTATGAACTGAACACCTTGTGTCTTGTGCTATGCGAAAATACAGTTTCCATTGCAGTTTTGCAAAATATACGAATTTTGATTCTACCGAAAAACCAACTCATTGATTTGTAAAGACTGTTCAGTGTCATTTTATTTTCACAAAATTACAGTTTCCATTTTGCTAACTTATTTTAATAATTACAATTTGTGAAATTTGATGTTTAATGGAAACACAGCTACTGACTGTGTCCTGAAAAGTCAGGAGCATTCATCATAATTGAGTGGGGCCATAACATTTCTTCATTAAAAATCTTTTTTAATTGGTCTTATCTAATATCAAATTCTTCTATTAAAACTATAACAAAATATAACAATTCTTTGAGATTTCCTCACTACAAACTCAGCGTGTCATCTTCCCCCTCTGGTTTCTACACAGCTTGTCATTTTTTTTCTGCTCGGGCTGATTTTTGTCAATAAAGGAAGCTCCAATGACCTTTGCCCTGCTGGCCCCACACCAGCCTCAACCCTTACGTTGTTTTATAAATAACAGTCTAGTCGCTTTGGATTAGAGCGTCTGAGTGACTGCCTGGCACTCTCCACAACCTGCTGCACAATCCACTGGGATCTGACCAGTGGAGGCGCCTGAAACAGCCCTGGCACTGAAACAACATAGAAGAAAAATATGAATGTAAAGTATTAAAATGCAGACATAAATAAATAAATGCATTGATATTCAAGAAATCATTCTCATATCTTTCTACCTAATACTTGCAAAGCATTAGTCAATTATGGACTTTTGTAGCCCAGAGCCACACATGCTGGCATATACAATAAAACTGGGCCATACTATAACAATGGCATCATCTAACCCCCTCAAAGTTAATGAACTTCCAGACGCCTGCGAGGCAATCCCAACACCAAGTGCTACTCCATCATTAAAGGCATTATGAAGTCAAGAGGGAGACTACATATAGCATTCACTGGAGTGACATGCTGTCAGACAAATCACTGGGTTAAAACACGGACGCCTATGCTTGTAGACAGCCCCTCCCCCTGCTATAGTCCCCACAAAGACACAGACTACCAAGCTCTGATGCTTTGTTGCAAATGGCTTACACACATCCCAGCATAAATGCATCTAAACTCATTGGTGTGTTTCTTAATTTGTGGGTAAAACCCGGACTAAACAGTTCAACGCTGATCAAAGGTGATTTTGTGACATTAATTAATTTTCATTCAAAATCCCCATAATGTCTTGATTTGGTTTAACGTGTCAGTTTAGGTACCACTGGAAAAGAACGCAACAATCCAAGTGGAAAGTGTAACAGGTACACAAGAACAGATTTCTAGGTATTCTCCCTCCAGTGAAGAGCTGATTAAAAGGCTGTGACCTCAGGATACTACAATCTTCCAAGAAGTCAGTAGGCATTAGATATTTATAGAAGGTTAACCGTATTGCCTAGGTGAGAAGGTTCACCAGTGCAGATTTTTCTAGAACCCTCTCACTTGGTTCTGATTTAGGTCTTAATGGAACTTGAATTTTGTCTTTTCCTTTAATCCATTGCCCTCAATTCCACCCCCACCCTTTAAACTCAGGAGTCAAGCTACAAAGCAGTGCCTCCTAATTTCATTTTATTTCATCAGCAGCAACCAACAACATACCCCTTCTTTTTGTGGCGTAACAAAAAAAAGAAGGCTTCACATCAAACACATTTCCTCCAACACAATATTGCTGAGATTAAAACATAATGGACGACAGAGGTGGTGTTTATCAAATTGCGAACATTGCTGTCAAATAAAACTGCTTAATAATATTGCAAAATTATATGTAGGATGTGGCCCCCAGCTTTTGTGGTGAAATGGGAGTAAAGGCGGACAGAACTGGATATCTGCTTAACTTTATGCTACGTATAGGATTTATTTTACATTTCTGCAAACGTTAAAATTTAAAAAAAAAAATTTTGATCAATAAGAAAAAAATATATATTGTCAAAAGGTTTGGTTCCCCCCATAAAAAAATTACAGGGCAAACTTTTGATACGTTCTTTTTGCTGCAAGGTTCACACATGGGCCATCATAACGTATGTTAACACTACCACTATGTCTCTGACCAAAACCGGGTCAGGCCTGTTACTCACATTAGCAATGCCTGCTTTAAATGACTTTCCTAATCCCTGTCATTACCTGGAATAGTCAATGTCTCGCCTGTGGACTGAAATAGCCGAGAACCTCAGACTGCCACTGTCCAATCCCCCTAATTTGCAGTTTCATAAATAGCAGGCAGGGACCTGAGCGCTTTGGGTGCAGAGGCCCTGTAGTGGAAGGCTGCTGATGTGAATGCATAGCAACATGAAGCAAAACCTACCTGGAGACACACCTCAGCTGTGAATTAGGCAAAAAAGGGGTGGATTTATAGGGATAGCTGAAGGAGATTCTCTGCTAAACTGTCAAAAGCAGGAAACACCTTATGTAGAAGGAGGCAATCATTACTTCTCTTGTATCTTTTTTATGAAAAAACCCACCTTTGTTCGCCCTAGAGGGTAAGAATAACATCAATGTCATCCACTATCTTAACTACATTAAGGACACATTTTTATATATATATATATATATATTTTTTTAAAGCATATCTTAAATATCTATTCTAAAGGTTTGGTTTAAAGTATCACCATCAGGAGAAGCACCGCTGCTCTCGCTGCCCTCCTCTGGCTGTCCTCAGAAGGCAGTAATGAATAGAAACAAGATGAGACTGGTAGGAGAGGCTGATAACATGGGCAGATGTCCAGGAGGTTAGGCTCTCGGCCAACAAACCAAGCAGCTCTGCTGAACTGTGGTCAGTGGGGAATATTTACATTGTGGACAGCTGACCTGTGGTCTCCCACAAGGGTCACACTGTTGACTTACTGATCCATGATGGTTTCAAAAAGCTGGATAAAAGAAAGAATGTCAACTGGCAACTTGAATAAAAAGATGCATATTTTCTTCTGACATCTACAAGAGCTGTGAAAGTGTATTTAACCCATAATACAGATTGTGTTGTTTGTTTCAGGTCAACAAACAATGTTATTCTTGTGTCGAAGCGTAAAGTGTAGTTTTTACATGATCATTTTATTTATCAACTAATACAATTCACCTAAACCTTTGTAAAAAAAAAAAAAAAAAAAAAAAAAAAGTAATCCTCCTTGAATCTTAATAAGTTGCCGGTGGCAACAACTGCCATCTAGCATCCTTGATAACGAGTAAAAAAGTCTTTCATATTACTTTGGAGGTTCTTTGTTCCTTTCTTCACTGCAGAGTTGTTTTAATTAATTTATGTTGGATGATTTTTATGGCAATAATTGCAGCATTGCAACATCTCAATCAAATTTGAGTAGACTTTGACTAGGCCACTACGAAATCTTCTTTACTCCATTAATGGAGAAGTGAACAATGCTTTGGATTGTTGTCCTAATGCATAACAGAGGTGTGTGAGCTTATCGTCACAAACCGATGACCAGATATACTCTTTCAAGATTTTTTGTAACAGAGCAGAATCCACTAATGTATTCTGGTCCTAAATCAGCCGACCAATTCAGATCCTGACACTACAACCATGTTTGACTATCTACATGATATACTGAGTTTAGTTTTAAACTATAGGTAGCAGAAATCATGCCCTCCAAAAAGTTGTCAGTCCATTCATTTTATTTTAATTTTTTTACCTAAAGTCACACATAAAAAAAAAATGCTTTTCTGTAAATTCTAGTGTTACTTTTGTTTATACCAGGGATGCTCTAATAAAAGCAAATTTTGGCCCAATCTTTATCTTGTGGAACATTTTGCTTGGTGTTGGAGGGTACTATAGATGCTGTCTTGGATTCTTTCATAAAGTCATGTGTGAGCCCTTGCAGCCCTTGTTTTCTTCATGGTAATTGCTCACACTGCAGATTGCTGACCTCTCAGAGCCTCATTAGATTGTATTTTAACCTTTCCCAGACAGATAGATGTTAAGAAAGAAATTATGAATTTCTTGCATGCTGTTTTTAGAAATCTTGTAGCCTACTTCAAGTTGTCAGACAGGTTATATTAGGCTTACTTTCTGATTCAGTTTAAGTAACAAAATGTATTGAAATCAAAAGAAAACTGTGAGGCATGAACACTTTTTGTACTGCACCACAGTACAAAGATGATTTTTGCTTTTAACCCTGAGGACATTTCTGCTTTCTGTTGGATGGAGGAAAGCCTCTGCCTGTTACATTCCGTCTTGGCGATATATTAGAATGACAGAAGGTAGTAATGAACTAAGACAAGATAAGACATGGCACTATTCATGCGTAACTGACTCAGAATCCCACACTAACATGTGTACAAGGCACTTAAATGTTGGGGGGGTACTAATAGATCAGCGAATAAGGATCAATAAACTATTAACACTGATTAACACGCGTAACCCCGCCACGCTGGCTCGCCACCTCTTACCTTCCAGCCAGCTGAGCTGTTGCTGTCGCCTTTATCCTTGAAATAGGGCACATAACGGACCATCCAGTCGTAGATCTGTGACAGAGTGAGTCTCTTCTCCGGGGTGCTCTCAATGGCGCGGGTAATGAGATCCGCGTAGGACTGGTTCCCCCACGCGTTCCGACGAGACGACTTGGCTTTGCGCAGAGACCCGGTCACGTCGAGCGCCGCGCCGGCCAGGCACGGGTGAGTCGCGCCAGTCGGTGCCGGGGCGCCGGTCGGGTGCTGCAGCTCCGCCGGATTGCCTCCAGCGAGCCCGGCTCTGCACGCCGGGACGTCCTCCGGCTCCACCTTGATGCCGGCCAGCGGGAGACCCCCGCTCACCTCTGGTCCGCCGGGGAAATCCTCGGGGCATGGCAGCGGCCAGGTGCACGAGCGAGGCCGGCTCTGCGGCTCGAAATCCGGATCAACCTGATGAGCGTCCAATTCGTCGTCCTCCATCATCAACATTTATCCCTTTAATGGGAAATATATTCAAATAAAAAAAACAAAAGGATGGGACAAAACTGTCTTTAGCGACACTTCACGTTGGAATCTGCTTGTAATACAGCTATTAAGCTCAGTCAGATTCAATCAGAGGGATTTCACTGGAGTAGCACCATCATCATCAATCCCAAAAAAAAAAAAAAATCACAACCTTGTGTGTAGAGATAAGAGGAGTAATAAAAATAACAGCAATTTCTTGTCCATTTTAACCACAGCGCAATAATGTTGAAAACAATCTGTCTTATTCAATCCTTTTCATCCTATTACACTAAGTCTCCAGCCTTCCTCAGCCAGTCATGGGGGCTTTTCATTCCAGTTGCAGCAACAGATGATATTTCAGATAAGGGAGCAAAGGCAGCCGTCGATAAATCCTCTAGAAGACAACGTGAAAATCAGGAAAGAAGAAGATGAGGAGGGGTTAAAAAAAAACAAAAAACAGGGTTGTGTAGAGAGCATCCAGTGAGGCGATAATGCGTGATTACCGTGAATTATTAAATCTTCCAGTCTGCACGGATTACGCTGGCAGCGACATATTCAAGTCCATTCAGCCTGAACAGCACCCCAACTGTCTGCAATTATAATGAAGAGGCGTGCGCATGTGACGAATCGATCATTTCCTTGGATGCGAGAAGAAAAAAATATATATATATAAAAGAAAAAAAAAATAACCCGGCAATCAAATCTCACATCCAGTTGTCAGGGATGAGAAAATTGGCTTTTCTCACTCCTCCTTCTTGCTCCTTCCTCTCACTTTCTCTCAGATGCCACACATGTTCTCATTTGCTTACAACTCGCTTCAGTCGATGTGAGCCGAGGATGACGCGCCGGCGCTGTACTCTATAGTAGAGATGCTGCCAATTGGAGTGCGCTCACGGAATCAATACTCTTCGAACATGATTACAGCGAAATCCCCGACTCTCTCTCTCTCTCCCTCTCTTTCTCTATTCCTCTCTAACCTTCTTTCTCTCTGTGCGTCTGTCTCATAACCACCATTTCTGTTGCGAAATCTTTAAGCTCAACTCCACATTCTTTGTGCGCCAGTTTATCTGCGACGGGATTCAAATACAAAAAGAATAAAAAAAAAAAAAAAAAAAAAGCATGAAGTAGCCTATTGCTTCACTCTAATCTTTTTTTTTTCTTTTTGGTTTCCTTTATGAAATATTGGAAACAGAACACGCGCGCGTGACGAATTGCCCAGTGCGCGCCGTGAGATGTCCAAATGCCCTCCAGGGAGAACTTGGCGGTTTCACCTCCGCTGATTATTTGCGAGCAATACCTCAGTGAGCGTAATTTTCTCTGCCGATTAGACAGATTTAGTTCAGATTAACGGGGATTAGGTAACCCTAGATTCTTAATCCCGGGAGGAGTGGGTTGAAGTGGGGTTTTTCAGAGGTCATAGTGAAAAGGAGAGAGAAGGAAGAGAAAATATTCCAGACTCACACTAAGTGTAAAAAAAAAAAAAAATGTAAACATTATCACATAGGCTTTGCAGACTGTATGTCGGACTTGCGTGCGTATTTTTGCGGTTTGGCACTATTTCATGACTGAGAGGAGAAGGTGGGGAGGGGGAGCGGAGGAGTGGTCACAACCAGTGGGCTCTTTTCAACCAGCATCCTGGATGGAGGCACAGGTGCTTTTATCTGATTGGTTCCTGCTTTCAGCGCCCCTTAAGTAGCCTGGGTGGAGCAATGCTACAAACAGCCTCACCTTTTCAGTCATTGACAGAAATATTGATGCACTTTCAGATTTCCTCTGTGAAAGTATCGCCTTTTGCTAATTACTATATCAGCTTTAGATATCCTATCCCTATGAAGCTATTTAACATGAAGTTCTGGATAATATAAACCTTGGAAAACATCTGGCTTAAAATAGATTTTTGCTGTAATTTGTTATACAAAATATTTTAGAAAATCATACCACTTTTTTCATTAATTTATTAAATCGGGGGATATCAAGCAATAAGAATAAATGGTTTATTTAAGAAAACCTTCAGTTTTGTTTATTATAATTTACAAAGTTGGAACATATTACAAGAATATTTTACCGTTGCTCTTTGAAAACTTGTTTAGATCATTCAGAGTCCTGGTCCTCTTGTCCTCAGCTCACCCCACAGGTTTTCTCTCAGATTAAAATCAGAGGGATGAGATGGCATTAGAGGGAGTTTAATTCCGTGGCGAATCACTTCTGTGTTAATTTAGCAAAACGGTTTTGTATCTGTAAGTCTAAATTGATCTAAAATGCCCTCGTTTTTCAAAATTTTAAAATGTGATACACTCTAACAGGCTTCTCAGGGCATGTGGACTAGAAATAGACCAACATCAGTACAGAATAGTGCCTGGGCATCAGGCGCTTTTCCTAACTGTTTTCCAGTCGATCCTGCAGAGATTTTTTATCTTATTCAAATTTTCCTACACACAGACTTTCAGTTAACTTCCCAGCACATTTTGGGGAATGCGACTAATTAGCATTTCTGATGGTAAAACAGAAAATGCCTTTTGGTCATATCCCTCTCAAAACAACGGGTTTGATTTTGCAGATAGCATCTAATGGTTGTTATGGAAACCTGAAGATGCTGCTTTTTGCTGTCATCTATTTTCTTTATCTCACTTACCTTCCTCTGTGGTGCCAAATCAAACTTCAGTGATTTTGTTTTGAACTCTTGGAGTTGTTTTCAACTTTTTAAATGTTGTTTAAACTCTCAAAGGGCCGGTTTAGACAGTAATCATTCACGGTAGTCTATTCCAGAACACACATCTGCCTTACTTGAAAGTTCACAATACAAGGATTTCACTGGTTTCTAAACACTTGGGAGTTTCGTCCTTTCTTAAATGGAATGTTGGGTTAAAATTTTCTGTGTGAGCTTATGAATTTAAATCTTTTCTACACATTTTTACAAATACTGCCTACAAATAGAACCATGTCTGTAGTTAGGTACTATGCAGTTCCTTGAAATAATAAAACTGCTCATGGTTGGTCAAGTCCCTACCAAGGATTCAACAACCTTATTAGAGAAAACCTCTCTCATTTTCCTCTCAAATCAAACTCAGAAAGAAAAAGAAAAAAATACAACCTCTTGTGCATCAAGGTAGCTCGAATGAACACCTCTCTCTTTGGTGCCTTCTAGTGTGCATGAAAGAAACCTGTAATTAAAAGTTGCATAACAAGGCCACACTGTGCACTCAGACATGACTGATGTTGAGAAATTTGTCAGAAATAGCAGGCTTTTAAAATGCAGGAGGATGTGTCATGTGATGTCTCATAGTATGACTTATTGTTGAGCAGCAGTGGGATCACATGATTAAAATGCCATCTTGCTAATAGTTTATTATTTTTAAAAATGTGAGGAAAATTGCTCATTAAAGACATGATTGCTTTGAATGATTTATTATATTTCCATTCTTACGTGCCAAGAATAACAAGGAGACCTGTGGTGAACACAGACAAGGCTTTTTTTTCTTTTTCTTTTTTACAGCTTCTACACTTTAACACAAGGTTTTGTTTGAGATGCTTCTCAAGTAGCACTTATGAAAGCCATAATTTTGGTGACACTTGAGATTACACAATGTGCCTTGATTACACAGGAAGTGAAAGAAAACCAAATGACTATCAAGAAGGCAAACAACCATATTCAGAGGCTCACAGCAGGACTGGATCTTGAGGGAGACAAAGACCTCAGGAAGCAGAGCCCAGACAGAAAAAGGGAGGTGGGTTAAAGTGCCTTAGAAAAGTGTGCACTCTTGTGAACTTTTTTCACATTTTGTCACGTTACAACTAGATCATTCAATGTATTTATTGGGATTGTCTGATTACCCAAGAGTAAATAGTGTATACTGTTGAACTGAAAGGAAAAAATGTCAAAAGGTTTTGAAATCATTTTATAAATAAAAGCTAAGTGTGGAATCCATACGTTTAGAGCTTATTTTCTCCTATACATCCAAACAAAAACAAGTGCAACCAATTGCTTTTCACCAAATTCACAAATCAAGTCATCCTGTCTGTAATCTAATCCCAGGATAAATTAAACCTGCTCTGTGAAAAGCAAAATTCTAGAAATTTTATAACATGTCATAACTACGGATATGTTATAAAATCACATCCGTATTTATGAGAACTCATATAGAAAGATGCAGGTTTTCACCCAGTAAGTAAAGTATAAGGTAAAACCCCATTGATGCCAACCTAAAGTGACAGACTGAGCAGGTAGGCAATTTAATCAGTGATCCATACATGAATTAGGAAGTTTTCTTAACAGACAGCTATTCCTTGTTACCTCCTCAAATCTGGATTTTACGAAACAGTAAAAAATAAAGCTGTTGTTAAAGGAAAGTTATATGAAATCATCAATTATCTACAAATCATATAAGGGGGAGCAGACATGTGAAAAATGGTGCTCTGATCACATGAGACCAAAGCTGTACTCTTTGGACCACATTTAAAGGGAAACGTGATGCTAACACTGCACATGAATAACAAACGAGGTGGTGGTAGAATCATGCTGTGACGATACTGTCTTTAACTGGGATATGAACATATTTCTGCCGCTGCTATGTGCCTGAAATGGCAGTTAATTTCTTTTTGCCATCTTTCCCACACAGAGCCTGTTTTAAGTATACCGGTACATATAAATCATTGGTCTGCTGATAAAGAATAAAGAAAACCATTTTGGAGGCTACACAGCAGTGTGGCAGTGGGACCATGATGCTAAACAAACAGCTGAGAAACGGTAGCTTATCAATGGACACATTTATTAAAATGGCCAATTGAAAGCTCACATCTAAATCAAACAGAGAATTTATGTTAGGGCTTTAAAACTGCAGTGTAGAAAGGTTTTAATAATAACAAATATTTCAGATTATTTCCTGCCACTTCCCATTAATGTTATACTTTGTGTTGTTCAGTGACATAAAATTAAATTTCAATTCAGTTTATCAACATAGCTGCAATAAATAGAGACAATAAAGTCTGACTGGATTTTTTAAAAATCTCATATAATTTCTGGTTGAGACCTGAACAATTTATGCAGGATACAGACCATTTTGTAATGCTCTTTAGATAGGCAGCAGTTTCTTTTACAAAGTAAGCATGTTTCGTCCCCTCTGGGTCTTTCCTCATACCAGACATTCCAGAGGTAGCAAGACTGCCCTAAAGATCTGAGTAGCTGACCCTGGAACAGCGTGTTCTGCTTGGTAGTAATAACCTCCGAGAGCCCCTGGAGAGGCAGAGCATCACATGAACAACATGTCAGAGCTTTATGCATGTCAGTCCCTGCACCCCATTTTACCTAGCGGGGTCTGGACAAGATGTATGTGCAGCATCCAAAGAACCCCCCCCTGGGAGATGGATGTCTGTCTTGGAATGCTCCTCATCTTGTCTCCTGTCCTCTTAGGAAACAGCCCTGCATTCTCACTAACAAGCATACAGATTCCCTGATATTAAAAAGAGGGTGTTTCAAGTTAGCACTAAAAACAACACAAGGTAGGCTGAGCTAAAGACGTCCTGATTGGAGAAATTGCCATCTCTCTGCAACATTTTGGCATCTTCATCTCAGCACTGATTATCATGTTTGTAGAGAAAATTGGTGCCAGAAAATGGTCTGTATTACAAAATGGAAAGAGTTTTTTAGGGATGAGCAGGTAATGATTTCAATCCCAAATCAACGGCATATTGTTAGAAATGTTTATGTATATATATATATATATATATATATATATATATATATATATATATATATATATATATATATAGTGTATGTATTTAGAGCAGACATGTACAAGGATTTAAAAAACAGATAAATCAGATTGAAAAATTGGCCAATCTGTAAGATGTTTCACTTAAGGAAGCAAAGCTAAATATATTTATAGACTGTGTTTAAGAGCTGGAATATTTTTAACTAAGTCAATGAATAAAACAGGCAGCAAATCAACCAGAATTTCTTCACAACTGTTCCTGTAGATGAATCTTGTTTTTATATCTATTTATTATGATTTGCGATTGGATGTTCTCTTAGTTATTTTTATTTAAATATCTCTAAGTTTGGGCAGAAAATGTATAAGTACTACATGCAAAAGTACGAGTACTACATGCAAAAGACAAACAACAGCATTAGATGGCATAATGTATGATATGTTCTAAAATGTGCTAGATGAACCGGGCAGAATATGAATAGAAGCATGGAGAGAAGTAAAACAACTCATGGGTAGCATGCAGCAGGATCATAGTGCTCCCTGGCTCAACTGATATAAAATTATTTCTAAGTTTTCATACCCATTTCATTTATTTCTATATTTTCGAATATAACAACCAAGACCAATTTAGAATTGATGTAATATTACACAAAGCAGTGCGTTGTTGTACATTTGTACTTCTTGCAGTGATTAATATTCCGCCCCCTTTACTTTGATGCACCAAGAAATTTTAAATCACAGAGGATAGGAAGCATTTCAAACAGGGCATCTTAGCCAGATTTTACAAAAAAAGGGTATATTTTGAGCAGAAAGTGTTTTCCCCCTAAAAACCAGTTTTCCCAAACGTTTCTTCCCCCTTTGCTTTACAAGATAGTTTCTGTGCTGTTAGGGTGCTTTTGTTTTGCAGGGATATTTATTTATTTATTTAGAAAGATAACTCTAATACAGAGCTATTCTGGTGGCAGCAAAATAACTCTCAACATACAGCCAGTCATAATAAAATGGATTAGATCAAAATATGTCCCAATCAAAGTCTAGAACTCAGTTCAGTTCATAATCTGTAGCAAAATTGAAGTTAAACTTCAGATAATTGCAAATAAACATACCTCTTGCAGCCCTAACTGAAGCAAAAGGTAGTGCAGATTGACTTGGAGGTTTGAATACAAATAGAGCAACATTGAGCTTTTTTTTTTATTAAACACTTTGGTGTGTTACATGAAATCTAAATAAAATACAAAGTTACCCAAACCTCAGTTGTAGTTGCTTTGTAACAATGTGTAATAATAATGACAATAAATATCAGTCTGATATTAAGAAAAAAACTAACATTGGATTATAGCTGCCTGCATCTAATACCTGTAATATTGGCATGCTGGTAGAAACTCTCTGCTTCTGTTTAACCCATTAGTTAAAATAACATTTAGTATAACATGGGTAAGTTCTTCTCATCCTTATTGTTGTTGACTATTGTTCTCTGTTTTAGTAATATCACTTTATCAAGCTTTTTCTAACACTTGGTAATATTTACAATAGGCATGTAGGCCTGATGCCAAACTTCCGATTAGCCCTGCTATGCCTCAGCTCTCCAGTTATTATGCAGCGGGAGACCAGCTCATCACCAAAGACCAGTATGTTTAACACAACTTTAAGTGGAAAAAAGCCAGAAAACTGTAGCATATCCATGCTGGACACATAGAGCCTTAGGCAAGGAGGCATCTGTCTCTTTAATACATAATTCACTCGGAGCTGGAAAATCATGCTTTAGTCCGTAGGGCCAATAGTATACTTGGTGTTGTTGGAACATTAAACTCCCTTTTCCTGTAGTTCAGTCTTACCAAGACAACACTTAAGCTTCACAAGTGGTTTCATATAAAATTAGATGCAACTAAAAATAGATGAATTTGTCTTTAAAGCCAATTAAAAAAAAGCTTTGCAATAATTATTTCCCCCCGCCTATGTTCAGACGTATGGCTTTTGAAATGCCCTATATGCACAGGGAGGCACAGTCACCTCACCTTTCCACCTCAGTGAAAGAGCTTGTCCTCATCAGCTCTGACGTGCAGGTAGGTCAACGTGCACAGACAGCCATCAGGCCCTGGAGCTCTCCTCTCAGACATGCACGCGGTTACTTTGCATCTCAACTCCAGCAAATGCATCTTCCTGCAAGCGTATTATTAGAAGCACTCACATCTTTTTGCCAACATCATTATCATAACCGACAGGATGTGCATTAGTTACTTCCGTCTTCTGCTGGAAATTGGCCCTAATGTTGACGTACCAGTGAACAGTCCTTTTGTTGGTTTCAACGTGGACAAGGAAGAACCTGAGGCTGCTATAGGGCTTAGGTGTCTAACACTTCCAGCTTAAGTTCCCACGAAAAGGAGGGGAACTAATGGGTTAACAGTGGAAATGAGATGGGAAGAGTGAAAATCAATGCATTTGTTGAAAGGAAGAAAGAACAGCTTTCACAGGTCTATGTATCATTAAGCAATTGAGAAAGCTAATTAGAGTAGGGTAAAAGATGTGCGGATCTTGCAGCTAATTATTTCCATGGCAACCAGAGCTCCTGTAGAGGAGAGGTGGCATTCATTCAGCTCCGATCAAGGCTGAAAACAGAGAATGAGCGCCCCCTGGTGGGTTAATAAAATCCTCTTTTAAAAAGGGATTTTTTTTTTTGATCAAAGAAAAAAGTTTTGCCCCAAGTAGAATATCTGTATGTCACTTTAAGGGTATGATTGTTGTATTAGATAACGAGATTTAGTCAAAATAATGCAATGACAGCGTGGGCCAGAATGAGATAAAAACCACGAGGAAAAAGCTTCAGCTTTAAATCATTGATGTTAAAGTTTAAAACTAAAAAACATAGAATACTCAATTACCTAAAGCAGCAGAGCAACATTCCTATTTGTACGCTACAAAAATACTTTATCAAATATTAGTCATATAGGTACTTTGGTAATGCAGACAAGCAGGCATATAGAAGGATCTGCTGAGTTTAGAAGCAATTGTTAAATCACAAATTATACCTTTTCACCATTTTACTCTTAAAAAGTTACAACTATAAATAGTAGATGGTTAATATGAGCACCCAAATGTACCTGTAAAATGGCCACACCTCAGAGAAACTTACAGTTGGCATTACTTCATTTTCCAATCGCCTCCTTTGGAAATAATTGAGTATTCCAAAAATTATGGATCATTCTTCTTCTAAGCAAAGGGGAAAGTGAAGCAAGTTTCTTCCATCCAGCTGCACAGCAGTTGGGGACCTAGTTATAAGAGACAGATTAATAAACAGCTGGAAAATATACCACTCATTTTTTTATAACTTATTAAAAAAGGAGTTTATACTGGGGGAAAAAAAGGAAAAAAAAGAAAAGGAAAATAAGTCAATTTCTTAGAAAAGTTGCATCATTAAAACCTTGACCAACCCTGACCTACTTATTTAGCTTGCAACACATAGAAACCAGAAATATAGCAGCTCAGAGTTTCAATTTATTTTATTTACTGTAACAAAAGTATAAAAGTAAAACATTGACAACAATATTTGCAAAACAAGACTAAGACAAAACAAATGCCTCGGTCGGACTTTTTAAGTGAAGTTCTGTTAAAAGCAGGTACTGGTGGAAGTAGAAACCTACAGAAACATGACTAACTACGTGAACTAGGTAGATAAGTTCAGGGTAGGTATCACCAACAGGAGATAGATAGTGTCTTGAATTAGCGTGAATCCAGATTAGCTTCTGGGAGATTGAGGTTAAAAACTAATCTGAGAGAACATCTAACATCTTAAAGCTGTTTTTGACAAAAATCTGGATTTTGAGAAGATATATTTAATTGCAGTTTGATGCGTTTTAAAACAACAAAATAAATTGAAGCCTTAAGACAGCAGTGCTTTACTACTTTATTGGTCCATCTTGGACTATTATGTTCGGTCTACAAAGACCGACTGTTTTAAATGTATCCTAATTAAAGAACCCAATGAGTTTAATTACCAAGCTCATGAATAGCAGAAGCTTTTAACAGAACCTCACTTTAGAACACTTTCAATGTCTTTGCTTGCTTGGGTCAATTTTCTCCAAATGAATCAGAGGTTTAAGCTGCTCTGCAAAGCTCCGCATGTCTTCAGACACAGTGTCCTGGCCAGCAGGAGCCAATACACTCAGTTCCACCAAATGTGAAAGGGACATTCGCTCCGTGTTCTCTGTGTTCCCAGGCACAAGCACGCGGGACACGTTGCACACTACGACTTTCATAGCTCCCTTGCGAAATATGTGGCCGCTGGTGACAAACTCGTGGTCCATACGGAAGCCCATTTCATTAAGGAAGTCTGGAAGGCTGTGAGAACAAGCCACGTCCACACAGTTACGCACCAGGGCGTGGCGGCTCTTGTCTCCTACTTCAGGTTGGCCCAAATAGCGCAGGTGCCACGGGGCAGTAGGATGGGAGAGGGATCGCCGGGCACGCAGAATGAAAGGATTCCCCTGCTGGCCTTTCAAAAGGTACACAAGCTCGTGGTCTGTAAAAGTCTCCGGCTCCATGTTGTCACACAGACCACGCAGGCGATGTAACAGGCTTTCCAGAGACGAATCTAACACACTGCCTAAAATAAAATGGGAAATAAAGATTGAAATTCAAAAAGCGTTGCTTAATTTAACAAATGTACACTTTCTATGTGCAAAAAGCAGTAAGTAAAGACCTGACAGTTGGGTATAAAAGCCAAACACTAAACTTTAAGAGAAGAAATCCACATTCAACAATAAATGCTCCATGCAAACCACTTTTAGAGTCAACATGCATTTAATTAGCCAATTGATTAATGTTAGCCTAGGGTTAAGGGTATAGTGGAGTTTTCCAGTAGGATGATCAGAAAAAGTGGTCCTCCTAACTGTCAATCATTCTGGTTTTAACTTACCAGTGGCGAGTTTGACATAGTGGAAAAATTACAAATCTTCCTTTGGAAAATAAGCTTCTATGAGCGCTGCAAACAGCAACTTTTAAACAGAGCATGGGCTCAAAGAAATGGGCTCATGCATGCTCTCGCATGCATTTAATAGGCGTTCCCTCTCAGGATCGGGTACAGGGTATGCATGTGCATTTTTATATTAAAAGCGGAGAGGGCGGGTCTTTTTTTCTGCCGTTGTTAACCTACAACAATGTGGTTAACAATGGAAAACGCATAGAAGAGAGCCATAATCGCAGTTCAACTAAGGAAGAAATTTGTGACTGAGGTGGAGAGTTAAAAAGGAGAAGTCTGGTAGCCGCAGCAGTGGCATCACAAATTAAAGGGAGCACTGTGAGCAACATGTTCAGAGTCTGAGTTATTGACTGATGTTATGAACAAATGAAATCCAAGACGAAGATTATTTATTCATTTAAAAAGTTCAAATTAAAGAACCATGAGTTTTAAACCTTGAATTTAGAAAAAAAAATACACCAAAAGGGCAGTGACTTTCCCTTCAGTACTTCAGTACCTGCAGCTCTTTTAGTGAAAAACTCTCACACCCTGTTTGGGAGCACCACTGCAGGTCATTCATACTTGGTGCCATTAGATTCTACAAAGCGACACTATTAAAGCAATACTTGTGCATTAACTAATGTTTAATTACTATTTAATACCCTGTACAATAACCTGTTTTTATATTTGATACCCAATGCAATAACTATATATATAAACACCCATCTATATTAATACCCATTTAATACCCTGTGCAATAACCCTGTGTAATAATCATGTTGCTAAATAAGAGACTTCAGCTGTTTTGTATATATGTGTATGCACTGTATCTACTGTATATACCCCATCCTTCTTTTGGCACTTTCTTCTTTTTGACTATTGAGCCGAGTACATTTCTGCACTGTGAGATCGATAAAGTCAATAAATTAATCAATTGATCGATAAATCAAAACATTCTATACAGTAGTTATGGAAAAGAAAACAAAGAAAAGATCCACCTCCATACACTTTAAGGTGAATTCCTTCAGGGCTCTTTATTTAAGGATTAATTAGTTTGTATAAAATGCAAAAAATATGATTCAATACATACATCTGCATATAAGTTTCTTCATGTGTATATAGCTCACCTTGCAGCAAATACTCCATCATGTTGATGGTGCCGCTGGTAATGGGCATCACAGTGACAGGAGGAGCCTCCATCTTCCTCAGATGTCTAGAAATTTAAAGGAGAAAATATATTGAATGCTCTATTAATTTTAAACTTATACATAGGATTGCTTGGAGCTATTTCCCTAGGGGGGGGAAAGGTGTTATTTGGTGTAACCTGTTTTTCAGCAAGAGCGTTACTGATCATTTGCTGCTAGCAGGGAAAGCCAAATGATATGCACTTTTGAGAGAGAAAAAAAAAAAACATAAAGTTTCTTTTTACCCGAAGAAAAAGCCAAAACGCGTCTCCCGGCTTAGTGAAGAAATATGAAGAAGTTTTACTCTTTATCTTCTCTGTAGACCTCAACGTTAGCCCATTTATTACTAGGCTGGTAGCTAGCAGAGAGCTAGTTTGCTAATTGTGAACACACACACACGCAATAACTCAGTCTTTCAAATCTTTGACCAAATTATAAGAAAACTATATAAAATACCGAAAAAAGAATTAGCCAGTTAGCCCCAAAACATTCAGTTATGTTGTAAATAAATTAAGCATATCAGAGGTATAGCTGCAGCCTGAAATAAACGCACAGCTTCTTCTTCTTCTTCTTCTTCTTCTTCTTTCCATTCTTCTTCGTCGACTATTTTATAATTAGCTGATCTCATACCGCCACCTACTGTACAGGAGTGTTAAACTCTGTTTCCCCCGCCTACTATATCCTTTGATATATTATTTTATTGAGTGAAAATAACAACTGTGTTTTATTCATAAATTTTATTTCATTCCCATCCCCCCCTTGTTTCATAATATTCCATTTGAACTCTATTTGTTCCCCCTTTCCTTTAATTGCCCCCATTATCTCCACTCTTTCAGCTGCATATCTATCAAAACGTGGTCCAATTTCTTTTTCTCCACACTCCTCACATCAGTTATCATTCTCATGTGTAAGTAAAAAAATAAAAGTAAAAGTTAATATACTACTAATTTTTTCATCGATTTTCTCATCAATTTACACCTTTTCTTCCACGTCCAAAATTCTTTTATATCACAGATTCTTTATTGCAAGCAAAATGAATTGTTTTGCAAACCCCTGAGACAAAAAAAAAAAAAGTGTTTCTATTGTTTCTTTTAGATTGAATGCTTTTAATGACAGCCTTTGAATCTGTTACTCTTTCTCCACCTGTTGCTGTAAACTGATTATTCCAACAATCTCTGCTCTCAACACAGACAGTTTATCACAATATTATTTAAATATGCATTTTTTTTATTTCTAGAATGAATATCAGCTTTTCTACAAGCGCCTTTGTGTTTTTGGGGCCATTTTTGTGTATTTCTAGCAAATTATAATAATAATGCCAGTGTTATATGCTTTTTTTAGCCCTAGCTTATTATATTTCTAGTCACTTTCATTTCAAGAGTATTCAAGTCCTCTTTTATTCCTTATTATTATCATTAGAGTGCTTCTTCTTATGAAACTCATACCTTTTCTGCCCATTAATTTCCACCCAAAGCCATTACCTTTGTACTTGAAGTATTTCTAACAGGCTTTATTCTTTGTTACTTTTAAGTTTTATCCAGTAAGTTAAACATACTTTAATGCCCCTTGTTTCTAAAGGCGTTACTGTTGTCTCAACTAAACAGGAAGTGGTTTTATTTGCTCCAGCCCACAGTCTTAAAGCCTTTTGTCATTTATCTGCAATTTGAAGTGTGATTTTTCTCCTTCTCCATAAATCATACATACATGCTGAACTCATATGAGCCCTGTTAATATTTAGTATGGCCTGCTGTCATTTGATAACTTTTTAAAATTTTGTTTCCAACTCAGCCTCATCACACAGTCTTTTTTTTCAGTAAGTCTTTATTCCAATATTTTCTTCCTTTAGTTTCAATTTGCAGGTACATAGATTTTGATTTATGGCCACTTTAAATACTTAGTAATAGGAGATGTCTTTATTAAGAAGCTTCAAAAAATAAAATAAAATAAATGCTGCAATATTGTCAAGCATGGGGGCCTTTTTAAGAACAAAAAAAATCAGCTCTGTGCATTGTGCATAAATGCAAAAAAGTTACAAAAAAATCCAAATAACTCTCAAACTGTAATAATAATAATGATATTTATAATTATAAAAATTTAAGTAACATGAATGAGTACTTTTCCATGCTTAAATAAACAACTTTAAGTCTACATTTTTTATGAATCAAGTAAATATGCTGTTGAAGATTATTTGCCATCCAGGTCATAGTCATTCCAAAAAAGTTAGAAAAAAATCCACTGGACTTTTTTTTTTTTCAAGTTTGAAGATGTTTCATTCTCAGACAGCTATGGGGTATTGCAATAATTGATGCTTTTTTCTTATTAATACGATGAAGATCATTTAAAGAAATTGATCAACTACAAGAGGATGGCATTAACAAAACTAATGCCACATTATGGAACATACTGTATAACTCTATTGTGAAAAACTATTCAGGATGTTCACCATGGTAAGAATTTTTTTTTCTCAATTCAGGATAAGTATAAAATCTTAAATAAACCTCCTCAGCACTTCTATTTTTCTCAGCTGTTGTTACTTACTAACCTTTTTACTAAGTCTTCAATGTACTTTTATCATTTCATTACAGTCATTGTGAGCACAATTTATTCACATTGCTTAGAAATGTATATTTATATTATTAATCATTTAGGACTGGTAGATAAAAGAAACACACCTCAGGGCAGTGTCATTCAAACACCATTATAATAAACATGGTTTATTGCTGTGGAATTTGTTTCAGAACTACTGACAATGTGAAAAATTATCCATATTTCATTTAGTAAATATTTAAACTTTGGGTATTTCATCGCACATTTAACTCGCTGTAAACACAGTGGCTTTCATCTGAATGTTGGTCTCTTGTTTTCGGCAATGTTCTGATGATCACAGATGAATAAATTACTGCAGTCTCCTCTTCTGCCTGCATACAGTAAGAAGTTTCACAGTATGAACAAAACTGCACAGATGGCATTTCTACTGCACTTGTTTTTGAAGTTGGTACAAAGTTCGTGTCAACCCAGCCTCTGGCTGTAGGGCTGCAGCCTTACCTCACCAGTGAAGCCACAGCATAAAAGATGAAAAGGAAGCGCTTAGGAAAGACAGAAGCAGAATGAGAACTGGGGGTCTCGTGAATTTCAATACGGCAAACCACAGGGTAAATAACACAGGAAGTCTGAAAAAAAATGATATTTGCAAACTTACCTGCCTGTATTCTTGATTTCAAACAGAATCTTATTACTGCAAGTAAAATTAAGAATGTGAAGGAGACCAATAGTGCATAAATAACTGGAATAAATGGTTTACTCTTCTTAGTTACATCTGAAAATAAAAACAAAAGCACATTAGCAAGTCATTTTTTCAAAATTAAAGATACACTAAAAAAATAAAGCAACTTTTTCTTGCATTTACTTAATCATATTTAATTAATTTTAACACATTTTTTTTCATGTTAGCATGGTAGGACATACAATAACTGTGTTAAAGTAACTAAATATGATTAAGTAGATACCAAAAGTGATTGCATTATATTTTTTCAGTGTATTCTTAAAATAAAAAAAGAACCAGAGAGACAAATAGACATGGGCATATTTTGTAGAAGTGCATTACATACGACAAAACTATTAAATTAATACTTCTTTTACTGTAGTAACATTGTCTCACACTGAAAGATAAAAACATTTTATTAATTCAATCCATGTTTAGAGATATATGTTTTTAACAAAATGATATGCCATAAAACTAAAATGTTTACTGTACAACTCCTTTAGAATAGTCCGTAGCATTTTGACTGTGTCAATCGTTTATATTAATCCAATTGCTTATAAAAACAAAAAAAATGTCATGCTAATTCCAGAGGTTTCTGATGCCATGCACCCACAACAAGGATCATACTGTCTTCAAACAAGAAACAGATCCACAGCCAATACATTCATATATTTTTACGTCGGCTTGAGTGACTGTGGCTTGAAAGATCGATCTCATTCAGACAAACATATTTGGGTTAAAATCCCAATAGAACTGAGCAAGCTCCTCAAGGTTGTATCTCCAATTGTAAGGCAACAAGTGTATTTTTTTTTCTTTCATGCCTCTCAAACAGTGTCCTGGGGTCCAGCGACTAACTAATGGTTATTATACAGACATAGTGATCCCAAAATATCAGTCTTTACAGTTTCCTAACAGTCAAGTTGCCCTTTGCTTTTAGGTAACTGTTTATATTATCACTCTGCCCAAATTTAGCTAAAAAAATTAAAAAAAAAAAGAGAAAGAAATAGACCCATGGCTTCATTAGGGAGTGTTATTGCTAGAATTATGCAAATAAAAAAATTGACAAGGAATTATTTTGCAAGTGAGTTTAAATACAGATGAGGATGATTACAGTGAAAAGGCTTAAATAATTATGAGGGGAAAAAGTGATAAAAATTATCAAAGGGGAACCCAGGGACGGGAACCAATCATAAAATAGAAAACAAGTAAACTAATCAGGGATGAAAAACATAAGAATTGACAGAAAAACATGACACAAAACTAAAGAGAACAACATGAACTGAAACAAATTTCAGAAGGACATAATAATTGGATTACTAAACACAAAAGTAAAATATCAACTTCTTAAAAAAAAAACTTAATTGCAGTTATTCTAACATAATTTAAGGTAATTTTTGCACAAACAACTGTGCAAAAATTATATTTTCTTTAAAACAATTATTTATTTTAAAAAGTTTAAAATTCAAAATTAGATTTTTTTTCTGTCGTTATTGCAAAAAGAATTGTTTTATCAAGGGCTTTTTATGGCACCAATAAACCAGCTCAATACCCACCTGATGTTGATGATGTGTCGTGAGTGGTAGATGTATTGTTCTCATCCAAGATCTGGCTTGAATTGCAGATTAAGAACCCAGCTGGATCTACGTGCACCGATATGCTACGATTGCTCATCAGAAGACTTGAATTATCTTTCAGATAATTGATGCCCACATCACACGTCAAATTACAAGAAAGTAAAGCATATGCATCACTGTAAACTGTCAAAAATCAAATAGAGTAAGATAAACAATTTCAGTTCATGAAAGAATTTAGAGAAATATATCCGTTCCTCACCTGTGATCACACATAAGTTGATTGTGAGCAGTCTCTCATTTGGCTCCCCACAGCGACTCCCCCAGCAGGTGTATTTCCCAGCGTTTGTATTTCTGACAGGTCCGATATGTAAGGTCTTGCTGTTGGTAATAGTAACCGTTTCTGATCTTTGTTCTAATGTCCTTTGGGTTCCACTACTGGCTTCAAAAGTCCATTTAAAACGTAAAAGTTCACCTGGGCATGTCTGATTAAAACTGCTGCCTGAAAAGAGGTAAACTGTCTTTTGAATTTCATGGACAATTTCTAAAAACAAAAAGGAAAAAAAAGAAAACAGGGATGGTTTAAGATGCAGAAATATAGATTAAAAGGAATAAATCACAAAAATTTACAGCTCAAACCTTTCTGAACTTCGATGAAGTTCGACGGTTCATTCCTGCAGAGTTCTTGAAAACAGTTTTCACACCCATACAAGCCCTGATCTTTGTCAGCAAACCTATTGATGATCAGCGAGCGATTTGGCATAGTCTCTATTTTTGGAAGATTGGGATGATAGAGTTTTAATCCACTCTTTTTCTGAAAGAAAAGCTGGATTTCCTCGCTCCGTTTATCCTTTTTGTAAAACCATTTGAAAGAGTCTGAGCCAGCGATGCCATTATCATCACAAGGTATGAGAAGCCTACATCCCAGCCAGGAACGAAGCTCAAGTGCTGCTAAAGTATCAGTTTTCTGTTAGTCATAAAGATGACTGCTAGTTTCAAAATGCTGCTTTGAAAATACATCAACATAACAGTGATTTTATCAGGTACTCACCATTTCCTGGAGGAAAGCAGTAAACCAGAAAAATCATATAAATGCAGGCGTTTTGAGGCAGTGAAGTCATGTCTCTACAAAGATGAAAGCAGATTCAAGCAAATCAGAAAGACTCCCCCTGTGGTAACATCATCCTTACAGCCCATCAAATCATAGCTCAGAAAGTCTGCGCATCATCACAAGCTTTTAGTTTGGTTCTGTCATAATTAAACTGAGGCTGACACATAGGAAGTGGTCCAGCAGCACTGCATAGGAAATTTAAGAAAGCTCTCGCCCACACATTTATATCTCTCTGTCTTACATTTCCCTTTCTGCATCAGCTAGGTGTCAAGATTCAGAATGTGCATCAGAAACAAGCTTGATTAAGACTTGAAGATTACACTTTTTTTTTTCTTGGGGGGGGAGTCACTGTTTTTAAATAAACAGTGACTTCCCTGTAAAAGCCAAGTTTGGGCTGAACTGGAGCGTTAACAGTTAAAAGTTGTTATATGATGATAAACTCCAAGCCATGCCTCTGCTTAGCACTAATTGCTAAAGGTATGCTCGAACAATGGACCAACAGTGGAAACCTTTGCACACTATGGGTGCCATGAAAACAGACATGAGTCACACCAGTAGGGTTTACCCAGAAACGTTTAGATTGTTTATGATTTGCCTTTTGAAATTTTCCCCGATCATAGATTTTTTTTTTTCCATTGTAAGATTCAATCGTCCAGAAGCAGTAGAAAAAAAGCATAAATAAGAAAAGAAATATCCTTTATATAAAACTTTGTTCCTTGGCATAAAATAAATCAACAAAGAATATAAATTTAGATTAAAAAAGCAGGGTTGTCCAGCTTTACGTATTGTTGTGTCCTTGGGCAAGACCCTTCACCTGCATTGTCTAATGATGGTGGTCAGAGGGTCCGGCAGCCTTGCTTCTGTCAGCGTGCCCCAGGGCAGCTGTGGCTGCAATGTAGCTTGCCACCCTCAGTCTGTGATTGTGCACGTAAATGGGTGAATGACTGAATGTAGTGTAAAGTGCTTTGGTCAAATCTCCTGACTTGAAAAAGAGCTATATAAGTACAGACCATTTACTATTTAATGGACCTAAATTCTCTGCTGAGGTAAATTTATGTCCAGGGAAATAAATACAATGAACACACAGAGCATTAAGCATTAGTGTCTTTGTTTTTACATTAACATTTATCCATCCCATATTTAGATTTAAGATGATTTTCATTTATTTATGTGGACAGTGTACAAATAATAAACAACATACCAGAAATACTAACTAAAACATTTTTAAAAAAATCTTAGTTGTTTTCTATAGTCATAAAATGGGATATACAAACTTTTTAACAGCAGTTTACGTAACTGGTTGGAAAATCTTTATAGGAATTACAGAAAACAAACCTTGATCATAGTGTTTGGAAATCCCCACTTCTGCTTTACAAGTATGTGACTCTAACATATAGACTGTATCTGAAAAAGTGATTAATATTTGCCTATGGATGACCTACATTTTCTCTGAGAATCCTGGTGATAGCAGCAAAAATGTTGGATCTGGAAGATCCCAAAGACACAATAGGTATTCAATTCACTTTAGTTTATTTATATAGTGCCAATTCACAACACATGTCATCTCAAGGCACTTTACAGTTCACCAGATCATCCATCCAGTCAAATTGATTCAAAGTTTTCTATCTAAGGATAACCAGTTGATTGGATCAACTTGTTGACTCAAATGCAATCCCTCACTTTTTGTAGCGACAGTGGAGAGGAAAAACTTTGTTTTAACAGGAAGAAACCTCCAGCAGAACCAGGCTCAGTGTGAGCTGCCCTCTGCCGAGACCGACTGGGGTACAATTAATGCAACAATAAACACAATTTGAGAGCAGTCCATGTGCAAATAAGAGTCTGACACAAACCATGACAACACCGCACTCCTTGGACACAGGCAGTCTTCTTCATTGCAGTTTTGAATGTGTTTTCTCTGCATGTAACATCTTAGCTTATCTTATTCATTCCTAAAACTGATAACTCGTTTAAAATGCTCTAAATAAATCCTGGTAGACATTTCCACTGACTTAGAACCTGTTTTAAAAAATTCTTTATAAATCATCATCAGACTGTTCTAATTTCGCTCTGAATTGTAATTACTTCTTTGTAGTTTCTCCCCACTCTTCCTGCAAACTTTAGGGTTTTGATTTCAAACCGAAATGACACAGAACAGTAGTCCCCTCTATTCCCTGCAGTTAATAAGGGGCTTCATTAAAACAAGAAATGTGACAGTTGTATCTTACGTGTGAATCTAAACTGCTGTCTTAACCTCTGATTCTCTAAACTTTAGAATCAGCGTGACTTTTCTACAAAATATGAGAATCTTTATAAGAATATTTTTTTTATGGTTTACCCTCCTTATTAGTGTCTGCTTAGTCTCCATGATTATGCAGCCCTAAAAATGCCCTAAAATAACTTTGCTGTTGATTAGAAATCCTGTTCCTGTTAAATTGATGAATATTCAGATTTTATAAGAAAATATTTTGTGCGTTTTTATTTTTTTAATATACAGTCATGCAAAACACATAATGGGGTAATATCCTTTTTCAATCTGAAAAACTCACATGAAGAGAAAAGACAATTAGGAGAAATTTATTGATACAATTACTTTAGTCACAGACCTCGGCAGGAAGCATAGCGCTTAATTTTGATATATATGCATGAACAGCAGCAAAGAATAGGGCTGTTTCCCCCCAGGCCTGAAACTGGTGGTGGAGTGGTGATAGATGAAGTTGGTCAGTCTGTAGACTGCTGGTTATTGAGACGGTATGCTGAGCTTTATGTGGAGATCCAGTGGGCTGTGTGAGCTGATACTAGAGCTTCACTCAGGGACCTGGAAGATGGAAGTCCAGTTAGATAACACAGGTTGAGAGAACCTGTCCATGATGAGCAAGCATGAGGCGACAGTGGAGAGGAAAAACTCCCTGTTGGGAAGAAACCTCTGGCAGAACCAGGCTCAACATGGCGGTCTTCTGCTGGACTGGCTGAGATGAGACAGGGAACACAGTAAGAGTCCGGGAGGAATGACACTCTGATGAAGCTTTAGCTATGAAGGTGGAGGTGGGTTGAAACGGTGTCATCTGAATGAAGTCACAGCGGATCCGCCACCTGTGCACAGGAGCAGAGAGGTGCATATTGGAGGCTTTTTAAGATGAACTTGGATGTAGTAAAGCAACGAGTTACTTCAGTTGAACTTCTGCCTAGGCTCCATTTTCTGTATAATAAATCAATTTAGCAAGTTCTTTTTTTTTTCTTTTTAGTAAAGTAAACCAGTCGTTGTTTTTTTTTTTTTATGTAGAAGGAGTTTCCATAAAGCAATTAACTGTTTTGTTAAATCTACACAGGCGGGACTGAATTTAAATATTTTAAGTAATGCGGTTAAATTTTGAGGAATGTGTTCTCCACATTAATAATCGGAAAAAGGTATTTTAGGGCTGAAGTCTCTTTAAATATCCGTGAAGCGCAGAACCCGCCCTGACATGCAGACTGAGCGCCTCCCTCCGCCTCAGGCGCTCAGTCTGCAGACCTGCGCCGCTCATCTCCCTGCTACTCAACAAGGACATCATCTTCAGCATGGAGCTGACGGAGGCTTTCCTCAAATACCAGGCGGCTTGGCCTCACATACATTACTTCATCGCTGTTCTGTGTCTCGTCGCCGCCGTGTATAAACTGACCAACATCGTCCTGGAAAGGAAAGCTATTCTTCGGAGCTTCGAAGCCTTTCCAGGACCTCCGGCTCACTTTCTGTTTGGAAATGTTTTAGAGGTAACCTTAAGGCGCCCATAGAGGCAGCAGCTGCATCCTTATGTAACATGTTATTATGAATCAAAGTATCAAAGTTTATTTGGAGCATTATTGTTTTTACTTTTTGCAGTACTACCCTTTATATTCGATTTATTGTGTAATGCAGAGCACGCAAACAAACGAACTTATGCAGGGAGAGATGCAGAAAGATTAGAGTTTGATTAAAACCTTTATCATAAATATGAATTTAAATAATGGAATGAAAACAGGATGAGTAACGATTACACCTACTAGTAATAACAACAATAATTATAGTAGAATAAGAACATGTAGGATTTTTTTAAAGCTATTCCATTGTTACACATTCTTTACATATATCAAATTATCCTCAAATTGTGAGAAAAGTAGGATAAAGATCAGAAGATTGAAGATGAAGTGTTTGCTGTAAAGTAATTAAGAATAACCAAGGCTTCCTTCATTAACATTTGCTGTGAGTGTGATTTTTATTTTTATTTTTTGACTAGTAATGAGTAAATATGTAAAAAAAAAACAAATACATATTTCAAATATTTGATCTCATATTGCTGTTCCAATTAATGTAAAAAGAGAACCCATGTTCATAAACATGTCAACTTGTTCAGTATATCGTTGCATGCATGTTTGTTTATTTTTCTCATGCAAATTGAGTTTTTATTTGTCCTTCAGTTTAAACAAGATGGTACTGACCTGTTCCGGGCATTAAAGTGGGCAGAGCAATATCCCTATGCTTTCCCTCTGTGGTTTGGTCCAAGTGTTTGTCTTCTCAACATCCATCACCCAGATTATGTTAAAACTGTACTGTCATCAACAGGTGGGAGGATATTTCTCTATTTTTACAGTGCTGTAACCATGTAAAGCTGGATCTAACTAAGCTTTGTTACTTTTCCTAATAGAGCCAAAGGATGATTTTGCGTATAGGTTCATTGAGTCTTGGATTGGTGAGAGCTCTTTACTTTCTCATACTTGCTAGTTTTGTCTCAGTGCAGGATTAATAATCCTGTCTCTCTTTTTCTCTAGGAAACGGCTTGCTGGTGTCAAATGGTCAGAAATGGTTTCGCCACAGACGGCTCCTGACACCAGCTTTCCATTACGATGTTTTAAAACCATACGTGAACCTGATGTCAGAGTCTGCTCAAACAATGCTGGTATGTCATTTATTAATATAGTAGGCTAATTAAGCCTGTTGTAAATGAGGCAATGCCCAACCCTAATAGTACAAAGTTACAACTACTAAAAAATCCTGATTATGATTCAAAAGTTTACATTTATTTTGAATGCAATTTTTTTCATGCATGCTTTAAACTATACAAACCGTCTGTATATATCATTTATCATGTTGAAAACCCCAGGAAATTGTATAATAATGAGTGAAACAAGTCAAAAGGAAAAAAATAGTTAATTTAATAAACAGTTTTAAAAAATCTATTTTCATAAATTTGCACGCGCTGAAAACAACACTTAGTTAAACTGCCTTTTGATTCATTTTCATTATTTATTATATAGAGTCTATAAGCATACCACATTCTGACTTGGCAGTATGTATTTATGTGTGTAAAACTTATTGATTCACTATTTTATTCATGCAAAATCCCTAAGTTCCATCACAGTAAATGATGCAGTGTTAAAGTAACATTTTAAGAGTGCATTTGGTCCCACTGGGAATTAGTGTGGGACCAAATGCACTCTCAAAGTGTGACTTTAACACTGCAAAATTTTGAAAAGTAATCCTTCAACATTAGTTGAAGGATTAGCATACATCTTGCAAATTATGTTATTAAAGACACTCTTTGCTGGAATTAAATAAGAAGTTTTTGTAAAAATCTTTTACTTAACAGTGTTCAAACCAATGCAACCAGGTTGTTCCATATTTCTCTACTGGATTCATTTGTTTGTCTGTAGAATAATGCAGGATGTTTTTTGAACTAAAGATGGAAAAAGGTTTCATAAGATTTAACCCTCTGTAATTTGTGTACATTACAGAAGCTTTACATTTCCATAGGAATGTGTAAACTTTTTATTATATATTTTGTAGGGCAATAACTAAATGTCGCCTACAAAGTTGTGGAGAAATTACCTAAACATGTTCATAAGCTTCTAACATGAATTATTCTGATGCATTTGTTCTATATTAAACTATATTAAACACAGATTAAACCATTTGGTGCATTTCCATCCATATCCTTAGGCAGATTGACAGGACAACAAAATAATTAAATACATGATATGATATGTCAGCAAATTAAATTAGGATTAAGTCCAATCACACCTATGGCAAGCAGAGTAAAAAAACAAAGCAAAGCAAAATATCTAAGAAAAAAAAAAACAGAAGTTCCAGTTTTTGACAGATTTCCAAGTTTTGCACTAGATAATGATTAAAATTAGATTAAAAACCTGGAATTAAGAAATCACTGAAATCTGCTAAATTGCACTTTAGACACACTAATGAACTGATATTCACCTCCCTATCCAAACTAAAACAAGATTTGAAGTATTTGATATTATTATCCAATTTTTATGTATACATTTCAGCCAAGGTGCTCCTGATTTGGAGTTTTTCTTTCTTTTTTTTTTTCCTGGTCAACCCTATCAACCTTTCTTCCTTCTGACCATTAACATTTTTCTTCAAAAGTACATTTTTGTGCCATGTTCAGCATCCTTTTTGCTCTTCTGTAAGGTTCAACTTTATTTTCTGTGAATAAGAAGGCTGGCATCCCAGAGTGCTCCACATCTCTTTGGAAGATGGTTTCTGGATTATTCTTGAGCATCTGAATCAATATTCTCTCTGCTTCTTCTTTCAGGGAGACAGTTTAAGTCAGATGGTTGAAACGGAGACAATTTTGTGTTCTAATTAGTCAATGATTGCAAATACACGACAAAGCTGGTTTTGGGTGAGGATTTTGCAAACCAACGTTAAGCATCTCGAATGACCTTTACTAATCTTTAACTTAATGCTGTGGAAAACCGAAGGACTGTGCTAGGAATCGAACAATTTAGATTGATTTATGGTCAAATGTTTAGAGTGAATGTTGACTATTTCTGATGGTGGCAAAATATGTTCACTTTAACTAACAAATAATAAATAAAAAAAATAGGGATGCACGATATTGGGATTTTGGCCGATATCCGATATGCCGATATTTTAAAACTCATGTAGCCGATAACCGATATCGATACCGATGTTAAAGCTGGACAAAAATAAGTAGTCATTGAAAATAGCAGTTTTGTTATCCGTTTCTGACACTTTGAAAAATAATATACTCAAATATATTTTCATATGCTGATATCAAATTGATTTTTAAAAACGCGGTATCGATCTATTTTACTTTCAAAATCTCGTGAAATTTCATCGTTCTGTTACAAACTCTCGTGATATTTTGCAAATTCTTGTGAGATTTTGTTAGTAAAATAGATAGATACCGCGTCAATATATCAACATATAAAAATATGGCAAAATTTTGTGAATTTTCGGGGGATTTCGTAGCATAACGATGACATATAGCAATATTTCATTAGTAAAAGAGATTGATATGGTGTTTTTAAATGGCAATATATCAGCATATGAAGATATTGTGATATTTTAATGTATCAATATTTTTTCCCTCGTCTTTAGAAGTTTTTAAATCTGTAAAAAAGAAGTTTTTGAGAAAGAAGAAGAAGTAGTATATATATATTTTTTTTTTAGACTTTAGAAACTCAGAAGCTGATCAAATATCGGGTTAATTATCGGTGGGGTGGCCGATGTCCGATATTCAGTTTTAAGGCCGATACAGGCCGATACCGATAGGGGGCCGATTATATCGTGCATCCCTAAAAAAAATCATTTTTGGTGGATGTCAATATGTTTGTGCGGAGGTGGAGCTAGCAAATGTCACCGGGGTGGGGGCAAAGGAGACACAGAATGTCTTAGCAGAGTGGTAAAGCTGGAGCTTTCATTAAAGATGTTAGAGATCTCTAATATGTAAATGGAATCAACAAAACATAAACACCTCAAAAATTTTCTTGTCAATTTTATTTCATTTTGTCAGAAACAAATGACTTTATATTGTGTATAACATAAAATATATATTACAGTATATAGTATATGTCTTTAAAAGGTTTAATTTAAAGTTTGTAAGGGGCAGCTGGGGGGACATGGCTCCACAGCAGGGGGCAGTTCCCCCTTGCCCCCCCTGTAGATTCGCCCCTGTGTTTGAGTCTGTATTTATGTTTATGGATTAGAAAAAAAGCTGAACAGTTTTACAATAGTAAACCTACATTATTCCTTAAAATTTCTTAAGGGTTTGTCATCATTAGACTTTTGAAAAAGGACAAATAAATAAATCAACTAAAGCTCCAAATCAGTATGGAAAGCTGATGATGAGTTAAACTTCACACTGGAGCTGCAGTTTTAAGCCTCGACTGTTCAAATCTATGCTTGTATCAAAGTTTTCCCTTTGCATTTTGGGAAAACTGACATACTTTGTCTTTTTTTTTCCAGGACAAATGGGAAAAGTATGCAAACACCAATGAGACCTTTGAATTGTTTGAGCATGTCAGCCTTATGACACTTGACAGCATCCTGAAGTGTGCCTTTAGCTCCAACAGTAACTGTCAAACAGAAGGGTAAGTCTACTTAAAGTTCAAAACATCAGCTTCAGTTCAGTCCAGCTGTTTCAGTCCAAAGCAGATTTCACCTTTCACCTGATCCTGCTTTTGTGTGTCAGGGGAACAAATGCCTACATCAAAGCAGTGTATGAACTCAGCAATCTTATTAACCTCCGTTTGAGGACGTTTCCATACCACAGTGACCTCATTTTCCGCCTCAGCCCACATGGTTTTAGATACAGAAGAGCACGCAAGGTGGCTCACAGTCATACAAGTAGGATCTAACTTGGTTTAGTTTAAAACAAATAACTGCCATCTTTTTTTGTATAATTTGCCAATTTATAGACTAAAAAACATCTTTTTTCTTTTCCAGACGAGGTTATCAAAAAGAGAAAAGAAGTATTAAAGGCAGAGACGGAGCTCAGCCGCATACAGACCAAGAGATACTTGGACTTTCTGGACATTCTTCTCTTTGCACGAGTATGTGACATTATCTCACTTTTTTTTTTATTTGAAAAAGAGAAACAAGTCTAGCTTTTAATTGTTGGCTGTTAAGCTTTCTGAGGGCTGGCAAACTCTCCACTTCAGTTATAAGGTGTTCAAAGATATGAATAAAAACTACATAAATCAATACCGCAGGCATCAAGTTAGGGCAAATCTATTGGCCATTCTAGTAAAAGACCTTAAACTATTTAATCTCTTGGAAAAAAGTCCCACATCAAAACTGTCCCGTACTAAATCACCTTATGCTCAGTTTTGGTTCCCAGAAAAGAAATGGTTTCATATTAAAATCTAAAGCATTTTACTATTTATTTCCGTCACTCTGACCTTCTAGGAACCTAAATGATGAGTGATGTTATTGTGGTAATGTTAATATTTTACAAACTTCTCAGAGAGATATAAAATAGGATTTGAGATGCATAAAAAACCCTCCACATTTGAAAGGCACTCAGCGGTAAAGATGTAAAACAAATATATTTTTTTCAAAATTGAAAAATGTTAGAATCCTTGTAGTTGTTAAATCTCTCACAGAAAAATACAAAAAAGGATAAATCTATTTTTTTATCTTGCATACTTTTATATAGTGCACTTATATAATAAACGGAAAACCAAAACTTATGGAATAATATGCTGATGAAGGTTCTCAGTCATCCAGGTCATAGTCATTCCGTAAAAATTGAGAAAGCTTCCTGGAGAGGTGGCGAAACGTCTTCAAATCTTGGAAACCAAGTCCAGTGGATATTTTTTTAATTTTTACGGAAGGGTCATGGAATAATACAATACCTATAGTAATTTTTTATTATGAAGCCAAACTGACCTTTATTTTTATTACTGTAATACCATAATCTTCAAATTGATCAGGGCGTCCACTGACTTCCAACAAGCAATAAATTAGTTCTGATATCCTCAGTTTGTGTCATAAGATGGTTCCTGATCCCCTTTGCCTGATCGGAAACCATCTTGCTTTCACCCCCAGAACATTATAATAGAAGTTAGAAAAAAATCTCAGACACTTATTATTGAAACAACCATTATATACTATCTACATTTCAAGCATGTAATACTGTGTTTAAGCTACATGAGGGATCTGTGATGCTGTCGGTCTCTCAGGTGAATATATTTAAAGTACTGTTTGAAGTCTAGGAGTATTTAAATAAAAACTGCTGACCTTTACCACTAAGCTAAAAATGGAAGGGCATTGGGTCTGTTCATTGGACAGTGATTCAAATCATGTGACCAAATGACCACAGAAATGGTTCACCAGTATCTGAGTATACCTACTAATGCTGCAAGAAATATAGGCAAAAATGGGGAGAAGAGAAGAGAATCTAAATATATAATGTAAAGAATGCTGGATTCCTTTTCATTAAAATTATGCCTTTGCAAAAAAAATAAGGATAAATTCACTTTCTACATTTTACTACCAGGATGCCAATCAATGTGGCCCACACTGTATAAACAAATAACAATGAAAAAAGAGTTACGTAAAGCTGATAACAGATCAGATATTAGGTAACACCAGGTCACAGTGTTTAAAGCAGCCAGAATTTACTAACTAACCCCGTCCAGCACAGTAATGTCCTCTGCTAAAGCAGCTTTCAGCTACTTATTTGTCTCCCAATGCAAAAAAAAATAAAAAATCTGGTGGAAAAATAATAGTCATTTCTGTACAAAAGTTCCCTTTGCAACATTTCTAGTGTCTTTTAACTACTCCTACCATAAAGATATCTTTCAGATTAACGAGATTGCTTTCTGCCAGCTGAAGCTCAGTGGTATAAAGGAGATATGGGGACAATGACCCCATAGACTGGAGAGCTTTTACCACAGAGTCATAAAACAAAACAAATGGCACAACTGGTGCGATTAACCTTCAGGTGTGGTTTTAAAAGCGTGTTTTGTGTCACAGTTATTAAAAAATTAGTCAAGGGTCAAAACAGAGGAACCAGTTTTCGAGGAAGACATATAGTTAGATTTCTCAAAAACGTTTATTTTGAAAGGCGATCTGCAGTGAACAACGAGGGCGTCTGCAGAGAGAGAACACAGGTTAGTGACCACTTTAATCTGGCGGAGGATGAACGTGAGAGTCACTAACCTCGTCTTATAGTTGAGTCCGTGTCCAGAGAACGAGGTTGGTTCTAGTCGGTCGGCTTCCAACAAGATGCGGTGGGCTTCGCCCAGAAAGTTCCACGTGCTGAAGTCCCATAGGTTGTAGAAGAGACAGGAGATCAGAACAGAGCAGAAGAAGGAAGGCAGCATAATCCAGAGGTCAAAGCCAAAGCTAATATGGAGGACGTGCTCAGAAGTCCAGGCCAGAAAATCAGAGATTCGAAGAGGTACCGAAGGGAAATTCAGGACAGTGTCAGGAATCAGTTCCAGGATCAGTAAACAGGCAGAATCTGGCAGGAGTCTGAAGACAGGTCAGGCAAATCAGAACGGGAACAGGCGGGCTTACAGGTCCATAGGCAGAACGGGCCAGGATCAGGCAATCAGTAACACTCAGGTATGCTAGAGTACTCTCACCAAAGGCTAAAATAATCTGGCACTGATGATCGTTGAAGGATGGTTAAATGGAGGCTAAAGCAGGTGGATTAGATGAACGGTAATGAGAAACTGGGCGGAGCTAGACAGGTGAAGGAAATTAGTAATCAGGACAGTCATCAGCGCCAAGATCATGACAAAATTAGATGTTTGATATAACAGTAAAAAGGTTATTTTCGATGTAGTATCTTTCATCTCTATTATAATGCTCGGGTTAATGGCTTGATATAAAGGATAAGCAGAAAACAAGCTTTTTTCCCCCCATTATTCCAACATTAGGATGAAAAGCAGCAGGGCCTGTCTGATGAAGATTTACGAGCAGAGGTGGACACCTTCATGTTTGAGGGGCACGACACCACAGCCAGCGGACTTTCCTTCATCCTCTACTGCCTGGCCTGCCACCCAGAGCACCAGAAGCTCTGCAGGGAGGAGGTTTGTCAGGCTTTGCAAGGCAAAGACACCATGGAATGGTATGCACACTCCAGAAAAATGTCCCTTATGAAATTAGGCTTCTACCATGCCAGATTATTGGTTATATACCAACTATTTGCTGTTTATTAGGTTTCTGTGATTAAAATAAGTCTCTGTCTCATATTTAGGGAAGATCTCTCCAAAATACCATACACAACAATGTGCATCAAAGAATCCCTTCGCCTTTATCCTCCGGTGCCAGGAATATCCAGGGAGGTCACCAAACCCATTACCTTCTTTGACGGAAGAACGTTGCCAGCAGGTCAGTGACTTGCTGCATACATGATGCATTATGCTTTCATCAAGTATTAACTTTCTGACCCCTGCAGCCAGTTTTTCTTTTACAAAATAAGCTTAACATAAAGCTGCACACATTAACAAGTTATATAACGAAAGTTATTATATGAACATTTATTTCTTGCATGTTACAGCGCTGCATATTCTCTGTTTCTGTGAAGTTTAGTTCAAAGAAAACTTTTTTAAAGATTTTTTTACATTTCAGACATTCTGTGCGTTGTTTCATACAGATTTCTATAAAGAACTATGGGGCAATGTTCACATCCATAAACTGATCCAAACAGGGTTGTTAACTCATTGCCTGCAGCTTTGCACTGATGTATTAGGGGTTTACTTTAAAGCAGGTTTGTAGAAGGGGGGAAATAAAAAGATAGAAAATAAAAAGGCACACAGTGGGGAAAATCTGTCCTGTTGTGTTTCAGCTGAACCGACGACCTCTGCATGGCCTCCACTCCCATGTACACGTTTTATTGACTGTCCTAACTGATTATTCTTCTCCTCCATTTTAAAGGCTCTCACATTGGAGTGAGTGTGTTTGCAACTCACAGAAATGCAACAGTCTGGGAAAATCCTAATGTAAGTTTATTATGACCATATCTAGATTTGGAAGTGGAAAAACCTAGATAATTACTGGATCAAAACTATACTTTGTACACCATTTTTTATTTCATGACTATTTTCTACAGTTTTGATCCAGTAGTACTAGAAATTCATGGTTTGATACATTTCATCAATAGAAAAAAGTCAAATATATGTTTTTATCCTTTGATAAGAGAATAATAACAGCCACTCAAACTGTATTAGGCAGATTCTAATATCTGACTGTACAGTCAGTTGATAGCTGATGCATAGTTGTATGAAAAACTACAGTGAACTGGTTATTCAGCTTCCAAACTTCCCCCTGAAGCATACGGTTTTATGTTTCATGGTGTAACAAAAGAAATCTGATCTTAAATTCAATATTAAAAAACTAGTTTAGTTAGTTTTTTCTTCTCTTGTAGCAACACAGGTGCTACTAGTGAAACACTTATTTCATGGATGAACACCTCTGTTAAAGGAAATATTTTACCAGTGGCCTTTAAACAGGCAGCTTTAGTTGCCTATCAAAATGGCATCTAATGATATTAGCTGCCATTGATATTTGGTTCCATCCAAGCATGCATTTACTATCTCTACCTAATTATCTGCTAAATACATCATACACTACACATAGTATGACATGAGGAGGCTCCGCTAAATCAAACAACATATATATTGGTGTAGGAGGCCAGTTTTGATCCAAAGGCCTGATTAGTCATAATGCTCCCTCAGGGAGTGAATAGTGAAAACACACATAGGAAAATGTTAGCACAATTAAGGTCTTTTTTTTTTGACAATGGACAATTGAGACAAAGTTAAGATGTTTCTTTTTCTTCCAATATGTGCAGAAGGTTGTTATGAGAGAATTCAACACACCTTATCAGTGCAAACATTGCACAAAAGCAGTAAAGCACGGTGGGGGAATGTTGGTGTGGGATTGTTCCATAGATCCCTGCATTTATGGACTGGAGCCTGAACTCCTCTGTATAAAAACATATTCTAGAGTTAAATTAGAAGCCAACTAACAGATTAGGTTTGGACAAAGTTCTCCCATGGTAAGAGAAAAAGTTGGCGAAGCCATTCTAAAATACAAAAAATATAATACTTCAATGTATTGCTACCAAAAGTAGTTATGTAAGCTTTTGTTTTCAGTACTGAAATGTAAGCAATGTTTTTTTTTGCATGACTTCATCTTTTTAAGTAATAATGTACTCTGTTGTTTTGTGCACCAAAAATATGGTTTAAATTAATTTAAAATTTCTGTTATGGCCCAGTACTTATAACTCTTCTTCCTTATGCCTGCAGTAACCTCTGATTTTGTTTCTTTTTTAACCTTATAGGTCTTTGACCCGCTGCGTTTCCTCCCAGAAAATGTTTCCAAGCGGTCGCCTCATGCATTTGTCCCTTTCTCCGCTGGACCAAGGTTTGGAAACACCCACAATTTGTTTGAAAGATCTCAGTTAACAAGCATTCTCTTTGTCAGCTCTTTTCAGATATCAGTCTACAGTTTGTGAATGTGTAATGTAGCGCCCACACCTAGTTTTATAGGTAAAATAAAAGTTTTGTTGTTATGGGCTAGAGTAAAGCAGGGGAAAGGTGAAGTGAATGATCAGATTCTTGATCTGATAAAGGTTGTTTTGATCTGTGACCTTCCTGGTTTACATGAGCAGGTTGATTTCCTCTAAATTTATTAAACTAATCATATTATTTTACTCTTTTTTTATGTTGTGTTCCTTCAGAAACTGCATCGGCCAGAATTTTGCTATGAATGAAATGAAGGTGGTGACGGCCATGACGTTAAAGCGGTATCAGCTGATAAAGGACCCCGAATATGAACCCAAGATTATTCCAAGATTGGTTCTCCGCTCACTCAATGGTATCCACATCAAGATCAAACCTGTGGAGCAGGAAGAATGATGGAAAGAATCCACTGTTGGATTTAAAGGGAAACAAATCATTTGGGATAATTTAATTTGTGAAAAACGGAAGTAAATTTTGAATTGATCTTACAATTTGTTGTACTTTATACCAGAATTAGAACTTGATATTGATCAATTTAGTGGAAATGTTTGGACACTTTCCTCTGCAGAATAGTTTATTTTTCACTGCACATGTGAAAAATAAACTCATAGGATATTTTGAGATTAGCTTTATTTTGAAGCACAAATATGTGATTATGCTAAACCAGACTGCTGTAATACTGTGAATATGTCACTAAAACAGTTTATTTACATACTATATTTCACACAATTCATAAACAGAAAGAAATATATATTATATTTCTATAGTTCTAGATAAAACAGATGAAAAAATAATTAGAAAGCAAATACACAGTGATGTATCTGTCATGATTTTGACAGAGAAATACTTTTAAAAAGAAAATTAGGAAGTGAGATCTATACACTATGGAATTCCCCCGGACTAGGATGAGATTCCAAATCATCGTGCAGCTAATAACCTCTTTCTTAGTTTGTTTTTAATAAAATTTGATCATACTTTAATGTCCAAGACTTGACTGACTGTTTTTTTTTTTTTTTTTTTTTTATGTTTCTAATAGCTAGGTGTGTCTTTTAACAGGGCAAATTAACAAAGTCAATCATTCAACCCTAATTAACATTGAAAGTAAGCAAGAGATTGCAGGGCTTTTAAGGCAACATTACAGAAAGTGGTAAAGAGATCTGCTCAAGTTCCAGATCTGCATGCTCCAGTCCAGGCAAGCAGGAATCTCTACCTAGTAAAAAGAAAAAAGGTAAAAACGTACCCTTCTACATCTCAGAGATCTGACCCAATAACATGATCTGCAGAGCTGTTAAGATCAACATGGCTCTGTAGAAGAAGGAAAAAATTCAACTGAACCTTTCAGACCCCAAACCCAGAAAGGTGTTAGCAGCTTAAATCTTTGAAATAAACCGGAAAAAAAAATATTTTATGCAGATAAAGACATTGTAACTATTACTTTGCATCGGACTGGTTGAATTGCTCAGCCTTATGATACATATCAACATAGTTTAAAATGTTTTACATTTAATTAGGCTGTTACTATCATTGCTGCCAGGTTTACACTGGTGAAACAATCTAGAATTAAGTCAAACTTTCTTAAATTAAGTGTATTTACCGTTAATTTGAGTAGGTAAATGAGATGGTTTGCTAATGAAATTAATATTTATGCTTTTAAAATCAGAGCTAGATAATATGCACTTGAAATAAAACAATGCATTTTTTTTCTCATTTTAAATGTCTCACTTTCCTCCTCAATTCAAGAAAAAATGCACTTATTTTAACAAAAAATTACTTATTTAGATATTACTTTTCTGCACTGTAGGTAGTAGCTCTCTGGATTATCTAAGTTATATGTACCTATGTCTATACTTTTTTTTAAGAGTGGCAATAGAAATTCCCCAATAAGAAATAACCAACAGAAACAATCATAAACAGGTTTCAGGTATTACAGGAGACAATCGCCCCCCCTTAACGGCAATCCCCCGCCTTTAACGACCGACCCTCAGAATCATAGACAGGTTTCAGATATTACAGGCTAACGCTGAAACCAAAAGACCCATTCATCGGTTACCATTTGCATGTTTCCAAGCGATACAAGGCTTTGTCTATATAAGACTCAAACTCACTGCGGATCCAGACATTTGAATTGAGAAAGCTTCCTGGAGAGGTGGCGAAACGTCTTCAAATCTTAGAAACCAAGTCCAGTGGATATTTTTTGAATTTTTACGGAATGATGTAAATCTAACTAAGCATTTGTTAAATCATACCATCCTTTTTGACATTTATAATGGATCCAAATGCAGGCAGGCAGAAGCAGCACTATGAGTCTACATCTAATTAATAAAACACAAAACATGTCAAGTTTAGCATAAGGTAAACCAGGCTGGCATGGATATGAAGAGGCTTTGCATAAACACAGCAGATTAATCCAGCTTGGGATGAAGATAACTAAAGAGGTATGTCAGTGAGAATGATGGACATGATACAGGTGGACTTATAAGGAAAACTCCAAGCACTTAATGAGCTCTGAGAAGATCACAAAACAGGATCAGGAGAAAGTTTAAACTAACATACAAAAAGAAAATGAAAACCACAGAGAAAAATCATAATGGTGATTTTTAAATTAATAATCTATCCCATACATCCCATGCACACATTTTACATTAAAGGCCCTTAGCCTAGGCAAATGCTACTTTCAGACCACAAGTACTGGAAGCAGCAAAAAAGCTTCTGCTGCTTAATTTTTGATGCTTGTGCACATTAAGATCAGATGTCCAGTAAAGTGTGTCCAGATGTGACTCATGCTTATGCTGCTCCTGTGTTCAGAGGGCGAGAGCAGGTCTGCTATATTTGCTGTTATAAGTGGGTAAAAAGTCGTTTTTAAAATGTTTTTAGGGGGGAAAATTGCATCTGTGCAGTCAGTTCATCAAGATTATGATCCTGCCTTCAAATATTATTTCGCTGTCTGAGCCGCTCTCATCCCCGTACACTGAGCGGCTGTATGGTGGTGATCTGTGTCTGGAAATCCCGTTCAATGGCAGCCTCTGGCCGGGTCGCCTGATTAACGGTTTTCCTCTATTGTTTGCAGCGGCTGGAATGCATTTTTCACATATGTAATCCAAACCTCAGGCACCAGAGTAAAAAAAGTGAACATATGTATCCGGCATGTTTCAACATTTCAAGTTAATTTAGGCGTTAATAAACTGTGGGGAGTGATCATAGCGGTCTGCATCAGCAGCCCTGTGTCTGTCTCCCTGCCACCTCCCAGATCAGCTTCTCTGATTGGTTGATGTGGCGCCTCGAGCAGCAGAAGTTCAATTTTCCAACTCCAGCAGCTACTGCGCTCGTCAGATGCTCAAAAGCTACTGAGGTGCTGCTCAAAACGCGCTGCAAGAACTTTTGCTGCGCCTTGATGCACATCAACCATTGACTTTGCATGTAAACTAGCTGCTTCTGCTGCCTGTAGCGCGTGCGGTCTGAACATAGCATAACAGGCCCTGGGGGCTCTTGTCACCATTATCTTTGTGTGAGTGAGAATTACGGTAACCTTCAGATTCACAACTGCATTTAAATCTGGTTGTGGAAACACTTCAAAACGGACTGTTGTAACAGCGTAAACCACAATCTTCAGTTGCAATGGTTCACACTCTATTCTCTCATGTTGACACTCAGTGCAGACAGCTAAATAACTTAAAAGGTTTAACTTAAAGTCTGTTACTTTGTTACAGACTGTGTAACCTTTTGTATTTACAATTTCTACCCATCCCACAGCTGCAAGTTAACTGACTGTGTGTGACCCATCATCAAAGTGGTTAAATGTCTCACATTTCCTCATTTAAATGAGGTCAGGTGTGAATGTTTAACTACATGAGACAGTCTTAGTGACAGGAAGCCTGAAGTTATTCACATTGTTTGATCTCAAGTTATTACACAATCATTACAAAACTAAACAGCCCACCTTGGAGGGTATGGAGGACTTTTAATAATACCTGAGAACTGGAACATGTGGCATGTAGGTCATGTCTATGGTGAGGCATAGACTGAATGCTGAAATGGGATCTTAATATGTAAAAAAAATAAAACGTTGTCACCCTATGGACATTTTTACAATCATATTATTGCAAATTATCTTTTTTACCAAATTGGCCCTTTTTAGTCTCTTTATTTTTCTTTTTGAAATACACAGTGCACATATCATGAATTTGTTCAACTTTACAGTGGACCTTTACTAATCATATATCCCCGTTATTTTACTGTGGTGTGTTCACTTTGGAAATCCGCTGAATTTTCACACCTTGAACTTAATTATTTTGACACGTTAGCACAAACCTAATATTTTATTGGGATTTTATGCCATAAATCAACACAAATCAGAGTGTATTTGTGCAGCAGAAGGAACATTTTGTGCACTTTTTAAAATAGGTAAATAGGTAATAGAACATTTCATAGAGGTTTTGCTGAAATTACAGCTAGAAGTCGTCCTGATTGTCTGTTGACCACCTTTTTTTTCCTTACTTTTATTCTGCTTTTTTTGTGATCCAATTATTTTATGGGTTTTAACAATGTTTTTGACTTTATCTGTTTTTTTTTATGTCTCTTCTATTTTACTATCTAATACATGTAAAGCACTTTTGATTGTGCTATACATATAAAATGGTCTTGCCTTACAAGGAGTGAAGTTTCTGGCCATTCTTCTTTGCAGAAAAACTGAAGCTTAGTCTGATTGGATGAATATGAATATGTTACATTCTATTTTCAAGCCTTTTCCCTGATTCTCAGCTCAAAGTCGAACACATGACTGCTTTATTCTTAACGCTGTAGCTCTGATTGTATCTTTAGGGCTGTTGTTCTGAACCTCTTCCTCTGAACTCAAACATGTTATTTCATTATAGCCCTGGATTTAACTTAATCCATCTTTGCATCAAATCTGACAAGTTTCCTTGTCCATCCTGAAGGGCATTCCCTGCACGATACTGCTACCATTATGATGATAGCAAATTCAGGATGGTGTGCTCTAAGCTTTGAATTATCAGCGTTCTACATGTAGGCAAAGCCAGAGGTCTGACAACACCAGAACACCTGCTACTGTTTGCTTTCCAAAACTGCTAACAGGACTTCTACGGATTCAAGAGGAAGGCAATAAAGTAATGAGGCTGAGGTAATAAAATGGTAGCAGGGTTATCTAGATTTTCACACAGCATTGTTAAAGTGGGATCACCCCGTCACAATGTAGGTCAACGGTTTTACTCTTCAAATGAAACAGACAAGCTCATGAGTCAAAATTAGTTTCTGATTTTATTTACAGTCATTTTACAAAATCCACACAAACAATGAAATGGAAAGTCACTGCTGCGGTTTATAAAAATGAATCAAGTCTTGTTTTATGTGGGGGAGGAATAAATTATCAGCTGCACCCAAAGATCCAAGAAAATTATCTGTTTGTTTACATGTTGCAGAGGCCAGTTGAAATTTTACAGGATAATGTAAATACTACAAACTGTTCTGAAAGCTGTTGATCCTTGAAGTTTAGCTTATTTTAAAGGATAAATCCTGCAAAGCACAACTACAGTTTTATTAATCATTTTCTATCTGGGCCCCTTACACATGTGTGTGTGTTTAGTAAATTAATTCACTTTCTAAAATGTAACCCTTAGGTTGAGTTGGGAGGTTATTTTTATATATATATTAGCTGCTTAAAGTTAGCTAAGAATGACGTTATACAAATGATGTTATGCATTGCAACAGTCTAAATCTGAACATTCTGCTATTAGTAACCTTTATATGATACTCATTGGTTATTGTGCTAGTGTCCAATCTGATATAATTGTACTTTGTAAAAGTCCACGTAAGTAGCAAATAAAAAAAACTTGTAAAACGGATTGTATTTACAATTCATTTGTTCTGAAAATATGTAAATAAATTATTCAAAACCGAATTTCACAGAAACGTGTAAAGTAAAAAAGGCATGGCTTTAAGCAGCAGCATCTGATTGATAACGGACCGTTTGCTTATGTCACCACCTAGTGGCGTTTAGGCGAAATACAAGACACCTCAGCTGACAAAAGTTGAATAACATTGCAGAACCTGGTCCCATTCTATTAACATGTTTTATAAAATCCAATGCAGCTCTTTATCAACAAAGGTTCTTCTCACTTTTAAAGTCTGAGGGCTGACCTGATTTCTCGCAGTAAGATAATAAAACAACTTTTTGCAGACCTTTTTTAATAGTTTTAACAATATTCTGAAAGACTGAAAAATGTTGGAACATGTAAAAATACAACTTCACATCAATTCAAAAGGTATTTAACACATAACTCAATTGTTATAGCCTATAAGAGCCACTCTAGTTCATACCATTGCCAGTATTGAGCTGTAAATAAAAACATAAAACTAAACAGTTCTCTGTGGTGTATTTTTGCACTCTTGTATAACAACATATAAAAGAAGTGAAGAGCTCCACCTCAGGCAGGTCACAGTCCCTGGTGTTTCTGCTGGGAACCTGAGAGTCAGCAGTGTTAAAAAACGGGTTAAATGAGAAGGGAAGGGGTTGGTTTCTTCCCCGGCCAGGCCTCTTTTGCGTATTTCTTTTTCCGTGGCTCGTTGAGGGTGGTCTCTGGGAGGTACGGAGCTGTGACCGGTGTGGGGTTGAGGGTGATGGGGGGCTGGGGAGCCTCTGGGGCCAGATCTACCTCTGGTGCTGGGTTGGGGAAAGGTAGAGGAAGCCCACCCTGCATGGCAGCCCCTCCTGGAGCTCCTGTTGGCTTGTTCTCATGGCTGGTGGGAGGTAAGTCCCCGTAAAGGCCTCCACCTAAACTGTAGGCATGAATGCGCTTTGATGCAAAGTCATCCAGACCCAGTGTGTTCTGACTATCAAATCTTCGTTTCTGAAAGACGGAAGATGGAACAAAGACTTCACAAGCCATATACATGACTACCAATGTATTCACTCTACAAAGAAGGCTCACTTTAATCTGTCAGCTGAGTGGATCATGTTAAATGTAAAGAGAATAAATACCTTCATGGGGATGACTGCTGTCTGCACCATATTTCTAAAGCGTCCAACCGAGGGGTCTATATCTTCTGTAAGTATAGAAAAAACAATGATTACACTTTACTGCACAGAGCATTAGTCTAACTTATTAGAAGATTTAACCTGTGGGCTAATGTGCAAGATCCATGTTATAATAAGAGTTCAATCCAGCAGAGATGGGCAGTCTATTCCAATCCGATCTTTATGTTCCAAAATATGATTCCTCAAAAAACTAATTTACTCTTGCCATCTGCTGATATTTAGTTTCATTTGGTCACAGTCAGGAACCATGTTCAGGGTTCCTACTGCATAAGGCAAGTTAAATTCAAGACTTTTTAAGACTTTTTAATGCCACTTGAAATAAAAATTAAGACCAAATTCACGGGAAACAAAAGAAAAACCTGCTTGCGAGAACTTTACCCAAAGGTTTATTTTAACATAAACCACTGCAATGTTTCAAATTTTGAAATGCTTCCCATACAGGAAGAAAGCTAAAAACACACAAATGACAGATATATTTTAACAATTATTTAACTGAATTCACAAACTTTGTTTTAGCATGGAACAAAACAAATCAGTTTTAAAGGCACAACATAACCAGTGCTAAGTCTTTTTTGCAGTTATTTTTGTTTATATCGTTTTCTTAGTATGTTTGATTTGGTGATAAGTGGAGGCGTTGCAGAGACAAGGGTGGAACAAAACTGATAAATACCGGCTGTTTCTCTGTAACTTGATTTTGACGCTTTGTGTTTCACGCTTCGCATGCGTGACTCCACTGCCTTAATTCCCATCGTTCCGAGCTTGAATCGCTTCTTGCACAAAATCCACTGAGCCTCATGTATGTTCCCTGGTTTTAGCCATGGAGAAAACTCTTGGCTGGATAACCAATTTTTGTTACATTTACACTTGCTCATGTTTTCCAGACAAAAAGTTAATGGCGCATCTCCCAAATGTCCCGGCCGCAACAACGCTTTTATTGGTTCCGCTATCGGGACGGAACCAATAATGGCGAGCTGTTTTTTTTTTTTTTAATAAAAAAAAGGTCAATTTTAATGTTTTATTTAGATTACAAAAATAAATCATGCTAAAAATAATCCTATTTATGATGTTTTAAAAATTAAGACCTACGAAAGACGGATTTAAGTTATTTTAATACCAGTTAAGGCCTTAGTTTTAAGACTTTTTAAGGACCCGCGGGAACTATGATGTTAAAGACACCAAGTGAAAAACCAATATTAATTATATACTAATATTTACCTAAAGTTTAGATCTCTTTTCATATTTCCTTACTAAAAAATAGGAGTTGAACTATCCTAACAAAAGCATTCATTTCTACTTGAATGTGGTGTTATATTGACCTGGATTAATGATAGAGTCCTCTTCACTGAAAGTAACTCTGGAGTTCTTGCGTTTCCTCTTTGGCCTCTGGATTTCCAAGTTGCCTTCTTCGATTGTCAGGAGGGAGATACGCTTGTTGTGGGCTGTATTAAATTCTGTAAGGTTCTGGATGACCAAAGAAATCACACACAAAAAAACGTTAACTGACCATTATACCACCATTCTGTGACTGGGCTGGATGAAAATACAAAGTACTTTATAAATAAGGAAATGGGGAAAAAACCTCCAAGCTGAATGTCCATTATAAGTTACAGTTTATTCAAAGATTTATTTCCACTTAAAATATTTTTTGTTGCCTTTGAACGATCTGAAATCATTACTTCGGTGGATCACATATACATGCAGGTGTTTAAGAGGTTGTCATCATCTTTAACACTAAGTGTTAAAGATGGGAAAGAACACACTTGAGCATAGCTGAGTTGCAAAGCGCTTTAAAGAAACTACAAACAAATAAAAGTAAAACATACTCAGCATTGCAGTGGAATAAAGGGAGATTTAGGTTAAAAAAATAAAAATAAATTAAGAGTTGATGCCATAAAAACTATTCTGTAATATTTATGCTGAAAATCAGCCCAAAAATCAAAAAGTTTTATTTTTCCTTTCTGTTTTTTAATTCACACATCAGAAATAGAAAATAATTTTTTTGCATTTAGAGTGAAACCATGATTTTTATGCTTAAGGTTATCAGACCATCAGAATTTCATACCAGCCCATGCCTACTTATAAGACTCCAAAAGAAAAAAAAATGTTGGATGGCAAAAGGCAAAGATAATAGCCAACAAGTTAACAAGGAACTTTTAAGTATTCAGCCCAATGACCCCAGTAGAGTTAACTACCTACTTTATACCACTACTAAATAATAACCTACCTCTAGCTCTGTCTCCTCCTCTGGAAGTCCAAGCAGTCCTTTGAGCTCTTCTTCATCCCCCGTCTTACTGTCTCCTGTGCCAGTGGTGCCTTGGGTCTGGGGCTTCTCTCTTATAGTGTAGGTCCTTGTTGATGCCCCAAAAGATATTGTAGAGTCTATAGGAACCTGCTGAGGCTTGTGGGGTTCAAGGCGAATATGCCCAAGGAAAGTACCATGTGCTGAAATTAAGATATTGAATGTTAGGAAAACCTGAAATCTGATGAAAAAAAGTTTTGACATTAGATTACACATAAATAAATGAGAATCATCTTAATGTCTCCTAAGACTGTATTCTAACATTATTATAAGATCTTGCATTCAGCTCATTTACTATTCTGGAAGAATGTCAACCAAGTTTGTCAGCTTTCAAGAGATGCAAAAAGAAACTGCAGTTTTCAGTTTGATCAGCCCTGATGGGACACAACTAAACATATAAAATTAGAGCCACAAAGTAAAATCCACTTTTTCCAACAGTGAACATCCCATAGAAAACACTGTTTGGTGCAGCAGGGAGGAAACTCTATTCTCTTCAATATTACAGAGCTGTAAGATATGAGAAATATCATGTGATGACAGCTTTAGTAGTGAAATATTGTGAAAAAAAAAAAAAAGAGATTTATGCTTCCCCATTCCTTCTCTCTGGTAAGTTATCTGCATCTAGAAAGCAAACTCTACCCGGATATGCTGGCTATTCATAAAGGACACACAAGAGAACCAGACATCAAGAGCCAGGATAATGCTGAACATACTGCAGCCAGGCTCTGTTTTATCTTTTATCACTGAAAACAAACCAAATTATTAAATCAAAGTAAGCTGTCAGTAAATATGTACATGTTTTTTTGTTTGCATTTCTTACTTTTTAATGCATCTTCAAATCTTAAGAAGAGGAGAAGACACTGCCATTGTGGGATATTGTGTCTATTAAATGTGTATTTAATACATTTCAGAATGAGGCTATATTATAACATTAGTAGAAAAGGTGATGTGATGCACGTTTTGGAAAACGTCATGCGATGTGGTGATGCTACTCGCCAAATGCAACTTAGATTTTTCATTGGTCGAGTTAATGCTAGAGCATCATTCGCCGCAAGGTGAGTAAACGTTTGAACCAAACTTGTGCTTCAGTCATGTCCTTATTCGCCTGACACTCTGATTTATGACAAAGATGCGCAGGAAAAGGATGAAATTATCAGTAGTTGTAAATCTATAAAACTGGAGAGCATCCGTGAACACAAAGGCAGTAAATGTATCAGGCTCCGTTTTTGAATGGTTTAATTTGTGGCAACTTCATCAAATAAAAATATTTTGCATTTGCAATCTTTTGATGAAATTCTAAATAACTTTATTTAATAAAAGCACATAACATTTTCTGTCAGTGATGTTGGCAGATGATGATGATGTTATAATATCTTCCCTATATTATAACTTCACTAATATATATAATCAATGTTCTAACCTTTTTATATAATCTGCATATAGCTTCTATATTTATTTATTTCATACTCTCACAATTACTCTCCGTTTATATTTACCATTTATAGTCCATACTAGGGGTGGAACGGTTCACAAAATCCAAGGTTCGGTTCGGTTCAAGGTTTCGTGGTCACGGTTTTCGGTTTGGTTCGGTATATGTTTATTGTTACCCCGAAATCTCATAAAAATTGATGAAATTAATGAAAAAAAAAATGAATTGTAATTATTTTTAATGATCCGCGGAAACCCTGGATCATTTCCGCATGTTTTGCTGCTTTGAATTTAATCAGCTCGCGCATGGCCTCTAGGATCTCCAAGGAACTCTGAGCGGAGCAGACGGGAGCCACAGCGGAGGCTGTATGCTTTGCTTTGTGCAGGCGGTCTGGAGCGCAGCGGAGCGGAGCGCTGACGGAGTATGTGGGATTTCGGGGTTAGCCTGACATGTTGGTCGTGTTGCTGTTAGCATAATCAACACGTGTTGCACAATGCTTGCACACTGTTGCACTTTTATCCACAACTTTCTTTCCGCCGTCATCGTAGGTCACTCTAAATGCAAAGCGGTCCCATACAGCAGACCTATAAAGTGCTGCTGGCGCAACTCCTGTTCTTTCCCACTCGCACAACAACTGATTTTTTTTCTGCTACACCCAGCTACGCTGCTTCCCTTCTTCTTCTTGTTTACTACTGGTGTTTGGCTTTGGTCGCAGCACCGCCACCTTCTGCTCAGGAGTGTACACGCTTCGTCTATGAGAAAAAGGAGCAGCGCATGAACCGACAGTCAAACCGAACGGTTCGGACGGTTTTCATAAACTGTTCCATCCCTAGTCCATACATACACAGTTTCTGTATACATGTAAATAAATATTTAGATCCTGTATAGCACTTCTGGATAGATGCAAACTACATTTCGTTGCTTTGTACTTGTAACAGTGTAATGACAATAGAAAATCCCTTTATTGTCCCACAATGGGGAAATTCTGGTGTTTACAGCAACAAAGGGATAATAGAAAGAAATGTCACACAAATGTGTACCTTAAATAAATGTATGTGTATACATAATGTATAATGTGAATTGGCTAATTCTGGTGCAATGCTTTTTAATGCACACTGTCCCTGTCATATAAATATTCCACTGTAACTTTGTTTGCATTTAACATACCTCCTTGGTGAAATAAGATGTTCCTCAAGAATATGAGAGCAAATTTTTTTTTTCTTTCGGATAAAAACATACTTGGCCGGTAATTAATTTATCTTCGGGTTCAGTTGGCCCATAAGTCAAAAAGTAAATTTTGGACCCTGGATGCGTGCCTAGTTTTTTTTGCTTTTTAAAATCATTATATTAAATAAAAGTAAAACACAGCTTATTGGTTATAGTTTGCTAGATACTTAAGTGCATTTGTTCCTGATAAATAAATAATGGTTAATTGCAGGGAGGCTCTAGTTACAATGCATATATAAATCATTTAAAAAATCAACATAGAGAATTAAATCACAGCTTTTTATTGTTTATTTTTAATTCCCTTTGGTCAGAGCTATGGCTGAGGGTTACTAGATGTGGAAAAAACTTTTATTGTACTTTTCTTGTACTAAATGCAATCGATCAATTCTTTTTAATCTACTTTAAAAAAAAAAAAAAAAGATATATTACGGTACTTTAATTTCAGACATTACTTCTTAGAGCTGACCTGAATTCAAAGTGTACTAAGAAAACATATTTTAGATCAGGTTTTAGATCTTTTTTCTTTACAATTTAGCCGCACATTATCCAAAACAAAGAAAATTTTGCAAAAAAAAAAGTGTAATTATGTGTGATGTCTTACTGCTGTTTAGGTCAATGAGGAAGACTCTTTTTAGATGTTTGTGGTAGACTAACGCTGCATGAACCCGTGAGCAGGACTGATGGTCAATGGTGAAGTCACACCAGTCAGGGTTCCTTCCAAACAGGTAAAACTTCTTTTCATCTATGATCAGTTTCTACAGGGAGGGGAAAAAAGAAACAACCTGTGTGAATAAATCCCTGAAAACACATAAAATCAGCAAAGCATGCAGCATCTGTGCCTCTGAGTTATAACTCCTCGATGTTGCTTTCACTGAGGGGCTTAAATCTCATGGCTGATGTTGCTCTAGCACCGTTTGAAGCTGAGCAGCCACAGAGTAACCCCTCATATGGGACACGACAGACTGTCAAGCTCGTATCTGGTGCACAGCTTTATAACTACATGCATTGAAAAGGTAGATCTAGAAAAGATTTAGTTACCTCTATCAACTTGTCTCCTTTCATCACGTCCAAATGGAGACCTGTGGGCGGTTTCCCTGCCCTGCAAGCAAAAGGTTAGACACCCTATAAAGATTGATTCAGTCAACAGGCTGCAGAAGTCATGTTTATCAAGACGAGGAGAAACTCTGCAAACAAAGTATTTCCTATCTTGCCCACAATTGTTTCTTCAATTGGAAAAAGGATTCATCTCATCCAAAACTCGATGCATTGGTCATTTTGGCTAATTCACTGCCAACATCATTGACGGGTTAGCCAGCTAGCCTAACATGATGCTAATGCTAGCCACAGAGATGGCGAGCTTTATCTGTGATAAAAACGTTCATATTTAAATTTAAGTTTTTCATCGTGTTCATCTGCAACAAGTACGGTGTTAGAAACAGCGCGAGGCTACTTTAGCGTGTGCATTTGTCTCACCATGATGGGCAATCAAAAGGAGGACCGTCTTTCACTGTTTTAGTCGCCATCTTGCTTCAGCGCATTAAAGCCGAGGCGCATTCTGGGAGAAATTTGCTGTGGGCTTATGGGACTTGTAGTTGTAATCCTATTAACGCGTAAAATCACGCTTTTAGTAAAGGAAATATAGTTGGAAAATGATATAGACAGTTTAATTTCATTTTCCGAGGTAAGTATTTTTAATAAAAAAAAACACAAATTAACAAACCTTTAAACAGCAATTATCTAAAGAAAAAACCTAGAAGTCAAAGAGAATTAAAGAGCAAAATGAAAAGAAATGCAAACATATTATCGCTCCACTTAACTTTATTTTATGTTTCAATTTATTCTTTAAAAACGTGACATATTGTTTTGTTTGAGAATAACTGATAAATGGGAGGAAAATAAGAGCTATATTTCAAAACATTTAAAACAAACAAACAAAAAGAAATCTTAAATCAATGCATTTTCCCCCCAGTCTAATTGGTTCCAGACTTTGTAGAGCCAGTGTTTGCTGAAATTAATGTATGAGTATTTTACAGTATCTAAAAGGTTTCCACATCTAAGGATAGAAATATATAGGCCTAGCTATTTTTTTTTAAACAGTGAGGCTCAATCAAATTAGATGGCCATCAATCCAGGTTTAAGCCAATACACCTTTTTAAGACTTGGGCTGAAATTTGAGTGGACATCTCTATTACTTAGTATGATTCAAACTGAGTAGAGTAGATAAAAAATAAAATGATTCTTTAATGTGGCTCAGTGGGAAAAACAGGTGCATCAGCAGCAAACTGACAAAGGTAAAACATGGTAACAATTAAAACTAAAACAAAAGCCTGTCCAATAATGGCACATTTAATACGGTAAGCTATTCCACCTCTTTCCCACGCAAATTAGCAGGCTAAAAAGGGTTTTTCAAACACGGGTCGACTTGCTAACAATCGGCATTTGACTCCCTTCCCATTGGCTAAAAAGCTGGTAAAAACCTGATTGTATGTTTTGGATCATTTCCCCTCTGAAATATTAGCCCCTGTCCCAGTCAGAGTCCAAAAGTTTTTTTACAGCCTCTAAAAGATTTTTTCTTCTCGTATTATGCTCTATTTAGAATATTTCTTCTCTCTTTAAATCTTGCAAGATGCCATAGAAAAGCATTCCCACAGCATAACGCTGTCACCAACATGTCTTTCTGTGGGGATAGTGTCTTCAGGGAGACGATCAGTTGCAGCTCCTCCATAAGTGCAAGATCTGTGGAGCTCACATTTTATGTTTTTCCTACAAGGAGATTCTTTCACCTTAGCTTTAAATGCTTCAGACTAAACATGTAGAAGAAAAGAGACAATAAGTGGCAGTAAAAAAATAAAAGATACCAGTTTCTGTGATTGAACTGAGTAGTGAATAAATAATTAGCCTGTTTTTGCTTTTGAACATTTTTAATTGATCTTAGCTTGAATGAAACATCTCCCAAAAAAATCTAAATTCTAAAAAGAAGCAGCAGAGGTCCCCAACTTCTCACTTATAACACCTAAGTATAAAGTGCAACTGAAAGAAAGATTTAATAATAGTTTGAGTAGATCAACACCACACAACTCACACAGTATTATATTGACTGAAAGGACGTAGCAGCTTTTGTGTGATGTTGTGGGGGGAGGGGGATCAAACCAACAGATCAGGCTGTTGTTTGAGGTTGTTTTTTGTGTGTGCCTCGTTTCAAAACTGTGGGTTTAGGCTGTACGCCTCGTAACAAAGACAGAAGCATGCTCTGTGTGTTGTAGTCTCTCTCCCTGCAGCATAAGGAAGTGAGGGTGCTGACTTTTCCTTGTATGTGTTAGAGTAAATAAGTTAGAGTAAGGTGAAGCTCCCACCATGAAGACGTATCAGAAAGCAACATTATTTTAAAAAATGCTGAATTTTAATGGAAGTTTAAATATAGGATGGTGATTATGTTATTTTCTGGTTAGTGTTTTAAGTTACAGCCTCTGTTTTAGGGTGCTATTTTCAAGCAGACATTGTGTAGTGTAAAATGTTAGTGTTTTACCTAAGACAGCTACTTTAAAATGCGACAAAAAGATTTTATTGTTTTGTTTTAGAAAAATGTCCTTCCTATACTGTTCTTCCCATTGTTGCGGTCTGTTGGCACTCAGTGTAAAAGTGAAGTAGATCAAATTAAACATTAAAGCCAATTTTTCCAAATCTTTGCAATAAAACAATGTCCAAAAATGAGCATTTCCCATTTTAAATGAAAAAAAAAAAAAAAAAAACTTGTGCAAAGAAAAACTCAGCTCCTGTCACTTCCTCATTTGCTTTTGTGGTTTTCAGCTGTGAGTGTAACTCCTCTTTTTACTGCACTCGTCATTTACACTCTGCCATTATTTCTGATTTGCAGCTCAGTGAACAGCAATGGCAGGCACCATTGCTTTGCCGCTTCAAGAATTCATTGCCTCACTGGACAATGCCAGCTTGCCAAAAATTTTGCAAGTTTGTTCTGGAGTTTATTTTCAAGGTAAGCCTTCATCTTTTTTTAAAGTGTGGGAAATTAAAATCTGAGACTATATGGTAACAGGGGCGAAGAAAATAGAATTAATCACACAAGATTGGATTAAACTGTGTCTGAGTGTTAAAATGAGTCTGTATCTTTTTCAAACCTCTATGGTTATATAACTTAATCTGTTAACTATTGGTCAGATGTTTCAGTATCCAAAGAAGAGGGCCAAGCATTTGTTGCTGCATTTGATACTGCAATATAACAAAATAATGAATATATACAGGATCTTTAATGAAAAATGTAACTTTTTGTCCCTTTTCTGGTTTATTACTTATGATAAGGTTCGATATATGAAATTTCTGGAAGTGAAGTGTGTTTTTCGACTGGGGATCTCGTAAAGGTCATTGGCATTGAACTGCAGTCTGTTTCCTGTGAAGACGTCATTAAAAATGAAACGTTTGAGTTGCCGATCACTCACACAGGTTTGTTGGAATTACATAATTGCAAAAATTATGTTTTTTCTGTTTTGTTTTATTTGTCGTTCGCTAAAGCACTTCTGTTTTTTCTAGGACTCTTCAAAGTGGTCCCCGAGCAGATGCCATACTCTTCTGTTGAGGAGATGTTAAGCCTGAGGCCCGTCTGCCTCGATGACTCCCTTCCTTTTACCTTCACCAGCCATACCAAGATGACCTTCGGCAGTCTCACGTTGGGGGCAGGCAAAGCCCTGACTGTGCTCTCCATCCAGAGGCATGAGGGCAAAGAGGATATGGTGCGTTGCCATGTAAGAGGGGAAACGGAGGCCTCGGCCGAAGTCTGCATTCCTCTGTCGTCTCGAGGGGAGTTTTACGAATGCGAGAGTGAGGAATGCTACACTCTTAAGGAGATCATGTCTTCACCTTGCCTTCGCATTCGAAGGTTTCGCTTTGTTAAGACCACCAAGTGTGAGCGAATCCTTGTCTTCAGTCCAATCTACCAGGTCCAGGCCATCATGAACTGTAAGTATAGCGGTCTATAAAATTAGTAATTTCTCAAATCTCAGCTTTAAAAAGATTTATATTCCAAGGTTTTGACCACAATTGTAGCTATATATTAATATCAAAATATGTTGGTACGCCCAAAATAGGAAAGCAATAATTTGTTCATATTTAGATCAAAGGAGGGGCCTACCAGGGTGCAGCTATAACTGCCCCTGCTCCGATTAGTTTTAGAGTGTGCATTATATGTTTAGCATACATCATTTTTTGCCATTTTGGAGACATATTTTACATGAAAAAAAAGTAATTCAAATAGGATGGATTATGGGGAGCTTTGAAGAGCTTGAGGTATGAAAAGGCAGTTGGTCCGAATGACAGTAATATTTAGGTATGGATACTTATAGAAGAGAGGGCAGTTGAGTTTTTTACTGGCTTGTTTAATGAAAACCTAGTCTGGACACTGAAGGAGGAGTTTGCAGATGTTCGAAATTCATGCAGAGAAAGTGCAAAGGGTCCCTGTTTCGAACCCCTGCTCCATCCATCTTAGCCGTTGTGCCTTTGGACAACACACTTCACAGCATAGTGGGCTGATGGTGATCAGAGGACCCGGTGGCATCTGTTTATGGCAGCCCCACTTCGTCCAGTGTGAATGTGTGTTAATTTAGTGAAAAGGTCTTTGGGGACCTCAGACTTGATAAAGTGCTATTCAAATACAGGCTATTTAGCATAAACCACATCTAGACAAAGATATGATACAGTACTCAAAGAGGAACTGTCATACTGCATGAGGAAGTAAGGGGTGGAAGACAATTATGAAGGATGATACAGGGCAGGCATGAAGACAGTAAGAGGTAAGGTGTCAATTTGAAATCAGTGATGGTTTAAGGAAAGTGTAGAGTAACATCAAAAATTGCTCACAATTCCTCCTTGTTTGTAATGGTAAGAGATAGACGAGGTCAGACAGGAGCTTCTGTGTACATGATGTCTGCAGATGACATTGCTTTATCTGTTAAAAGTAGCAAGAGAGTAAAGAGTAATTTGGAGGGAAAATATGTATGTGAATAAGGGCGTGGAAGATGGAAAGCTTGAGTGAGAAGAGATGGCAGAGTTCAGGCTAGGAGATGGTCCAGGCAGGGTGAAGTGGATGGAGACCATAATCAGGAGTGATTCAAGTTAGAGATGTAGCTTGAAGAGTGACAGCAAAGACTTTAAAGCAAAAAAGCAAACCTCTAGATGAAATTCATAGACGTGGTAAAGAAAAGCATAGATTTAACAGCTTAATGATTTCCCCATGTTGCGATACAAGGAAATTATGCATCTGATGCATTCCCTTAATCACTGGTGTGCCTCAAATTTGTTTAAATGATTTGAATTATCAGAACTTCAAAAAGCCAGAGCATCATCATCCATAGGTTGACACGATAATCTCAATGCATGTAAAAACACAGAATAAAAAGAAAGCAATAAAACACCTCTAAGATAGTAAATCATAAAAAAATTTTGTCACTAAACAAATTACTCTGGTAATGGTTAACTGACCTTAAACAGGAAAGGTTTAATCTGGTGTATTCGCAAGGTAATATTTAACTAACTGTGATGCTGTTTTTTTTACTTCAGAAGAGGGTTCACATCAGATACTTAACCAGAAAAAATGACATTGTCTCTTTCTCCTACTTTATGTCACTGTTTCCATCTTATTTACTTTTGTCTTCACAGTGAGAAAGAACGTGTTGAGGTTTCCGTCCAGCCTAGAGGTGGATGTTGTTGATGTCACTGATGTGTGTAAAGACGTAAACTTCGTGACCCCTCTAAGCCTGACAGAGGTCCTGTCGCAGCCGGACAATTCATTCCCTGTAGTGGCAGAGATATTGGAAGAGCCTCAGAGCCGCTCTTTCTTTAAGTGTGCCTGGCTACCAGGGCTTGTCAAGAGCACCAACTTGGTCTTGCACAAGAAAGGAACTACACCTATGGTCCTGATGTCCAGCTTGAAGGGCCGGAAGAATCAGCAGTACTTCCTTGTTTCCCAGCAGTATGGTGGAAAGTTTCGAAGGCGTCCAAGAGAGTTCAACTCAGTTTACGAGCTGTATGTTGCTTCAACCCAGACACAGGGACTCACGGTGAGCGTGACAAGGAACTGTGAAGAAGTGGAGGAGGAGGGTATGCCAGACCTCAGCATTGGGGAGAAGCTTAAGATTGTGAGCTGCACTAGAATGGAGTTACCTGGTGAAAACATCAAAGGGCAGAGGCAGTCTGTGGAGGCTCTTTTGTGTCATCGTCTCCAAGAGCCAGAAGATGAGGATGAGGATGAGGAGGAAGAGAATACACAAAAGGATAAACAGGAGGAGGAAAAAGAGGAGGTCTTACTGCCTCTTTACATGCAGGGTCACTTTGTAGAGATTCTCAGCGAAAACAAAAAGTATAAACTCAGTGATTTGGGAAAGGAGTTCAGTTTGCCACTGGACGTCAAAGTGGTGAGTCGAGACACTGAACTAGAGACGGATCCACTATTCGGATCTTCTTGTCTAAGAATCGAGGGGGCAATGTTGGAGCCCAGTATCCAGGCAAGCTTTCAAGATCGACCGGACCACTGTTTCCACATCCTGCCCCAGTGGCTTTCTATGTCTGTCTCTTTCACACAGGAGCCCCTACCATGGGCTCAGGACAATTGCCCAAAGTGTTTCATAGAAAAGGTTAGTGAGGTGACAGACACATTCTTTTATGATTTTCGCAAAAAGGATAACTCGGACGAGGCTCCTCCCCCTCGACCACCAAAACGAGATCTGTCATCGTCAAACTTGGTCAAAAAAACAGCTAAATCTACCAAAAAATCTGCAAATCCAAAGAAAAAGAAGGATAAAACCATCCCAACAGAGAAGTTGAACGATTTAACACTGAATCAAAAGAAAAGGCCTCCAGCTCCCCCTCCTCCAGTGAGTACTGTTCAGCATGTTTCATTGTAAAGATTCGTGCAGTATAACGTTTCTTAGAAAAAGTCTTGATAATAGTCAAAAAGAGAAGCTTTTTTTTCTTCTGTCTTGCTGAAGTGTCTTTGCCATTTTCTGCTATAATGACAATTTCCTCTTCTGCTTTAGGAGGTCCTAAACGATGACCTCCCTCCTCCTGTTGTACCAAGAAAGTGCTCAACTGCAGATAAAACAAGCAAGGCCCTTCCAAACACTTATGTAAAGATACATCAAACCATAGTAAAGGGTGAGGATCTTCTTTTTGCTTTGCCATTCTAAGATTAGATTTAAACTAGTGCTGTCAATCGCGATTAATCGCATTTTAATCGCAAATTTTTTTTCTGATTGAAAATCATTTAAATACTCTCGATGACATACAAAAAATACATACAGGCTAGGTTTGTGCCAATGTTCTTTTTTTAAAATGAAAACAGGTCACAGACACTGATTTATGCCATAGAAACATATGGCAAGAAGATGGGGAGGCATGTAGCAAAAAATAACAAATATGTAGCCAAAAAAAAGGCCCTGAAAACAGGCTGATGTAAAAGACAGTCTTTACAGTTAATACAGTCTTTTGAACAAGGACAAGCATTTTACCCTACTGCTATAAAATGCAGTACAGTTAACATTAGATGTTAATTAACCAAGGTAATAATGAACAATTTTCAATCAATACATCAAAATCAATAGACCGACATCACTAGATGGAGGTAGTCTATGCTCTAGAAAGTTAATTTTCAGCCTCTTAACAAAAATGAGAACACACACACACCCACCCACCCACACACAGACACACCCACCCACACACACACACACGATACTGACCTGTGGCGTACACAGACAGCAAGAGTGCCGTAGCAGATTCCATTTCACCTCAGTAATCTGTTTTCTCAGCGTATTTCAGGTTGCTATAGGCACCAGACACTCAACTAGTTTGTTGGTGGTGGGGCTTAAAGAAAAGGCACTAGCGTCACCCAGTGTATGAGCGTCTTTTTTCCTTGAGGAGCTCCGCTCTCGAAGCCTATGGAAAATGCATAGACTGGGGGAAAATAGCCCCGCCTTCCCGCAGGCTGCAGCGGGATGTACTTGGAAAATTGTACCATAAAACCACATAGCGTTAATCTCACGTTAAAAAAATTATCGCCGTTAAAATGGCCTTGCGTTAACACGATAATAACGCGATAATTTTGACAGCACTAGTTTAAACATATTCTCTCCTAATTAAACAGTTTATTAATGCAGATTTACATTTCTTCTCAGCATAGCCCTAAATTAAAAACACACTTGAAGCACCATCTCATTTAGCTTCTGCACTGAGTCAATAATATTGTGAGGCTATTATAACATATTGGCCACCTGAAGTGACTTTATGTGATCACTTAATGTCGTAAAAAGTCTCTATCTATTAGAATGTAATGATACTGTTAGGAACTTTCTTAGATGAAGACATCTGGAAAAGTTCCTCAATCCCAGAATAGCATGTATCCTTTTATATATTCATTATAACACAAGAAGTATCTGACAGAAAATAACGCTGGTAATTCCTCAAAGTCACTCTGGCCTGTTTCAGTCTCTTCTTCTGTTTAAAGCGGAAGTACGGCTGCCTTCACTGCAAATATGTAATGTGGTAGATCTTATTCTAACTTTCTCCTGAATGATATATATATATTGTAATATATTTTCTCTGTAAACTATGTGAAGGAATACAAATTGGCAATATTTTAGGGGAACCCTTGGTCAGCTGGAGTTAATTTCAGATTAATCAAAAATACATTTTTTGGCAGATGTAAAGTCAAGGAGACTGAACATTAAAATGTTAAAAATGTGGTTTAACAGCATAACTCTAAGGTTGTGGGCAGTTGAGCAACCAGATCGTTGCAGCTTTTCTTACTTGTTTTCTTGAAACACATCTCTTACTTGAATTCATCACAATATATACGATGTAAAAGGTGGACAAACGTTTTAAATAACTAATCAGCATAATATTATTCAATATCACTAAAATACACAAGCATCCCAGACCTTAGAAAGTCACTGTCGTCCTATTAGTTTTCCTTTCATACTATAAAGTTATTTCTTAAAATATAACACAATAGTTTAGATTATAACAAATTAGGAAAATAACTTAAGGAAAATATATTTTTTAGTTTCAAAGACAGAGCAAATACTTGTAATATAATTTCATATTGTTTTTTCTTGTCTTTCTCAGAGCACCTTGATGACGCGCCTGCAGACGTGGAAAGTGACCATGACTACGAAACTTTGGATGAGACTTTAGTAACTATGGTTAAAACTGCACAAGAAAGTGTGATGTTCTATTAACAGGAAAAGCCATTTTGTAACTTTAATGTGAGTTTAATCTAACAATATTATCTTGAATGTGGGCACGGAGTGCTGAAATCAGAAGAAGCTAAATTAGAACCGTAGAGTCTAGTTTAGAAGAAACAAACTGTCTATAAATATTTACATTGTGCTCAAACTCCTCAGGCTTTAGTAAAACATTAGCACAGAAAAAAAATGTACTGTTACTATGGTGACTAGTATTGTTAGAAAGTACTTGTACTTCAATTATTTGTCTGTCGAGGTTGTCAATGCTACTTCCTCAATTTCCTCTGTGCTCCATCATTGAAAAGCTTTTTTATTTTTCACGGCAGATGTTTTTATTTAAAAAAAGCACAGAAAGCGCCGGCGGATGGATTCGAGTTGCCAAGTCTTTTTTTTTTTAAGTGCGACTTTAGCTTAGCTGCTACACCAATAATGCAAACTAGCAATACCACTGACAGCTGAACTCAAAAACACTGAATATCTCTTCATCATTTGCACCTGTTGCCTGATAAAGGGGTGGGGGATACCAGGCAGCAAACAAATGCGGTGAAAGCAGGAAGAGAATAGGGTGACTGAAAGGATCTGATAGAGTTCAAAAGGGCTAAACTGCATCTATATATGTTCATTAATGTCCAGCTGGCACCAAAGCTGATTAATTCATAAAGGAGCAAATACTGGCACATGTGCATTGGTATCTTTCATAGTTTTTTAATATAATGTGTCACATTATAACCTCTAAACACAAGTACATTGTAGGCTTTATGTGGCCAACACAAAAGACAGCTTCATCTTAAAGCTGGAAAATTAAACAGTTATTTGTAAAAAAGAATTGAAAGGGTGTAGTATGCATCTGTATTTACGCCTTGCATTAATATCTTAAAACATAGAGGCTGGTTCCAGGTGTGGACAAGCAGTCTGTGGGGCGCAGTGTAATTGCCAGGGGTGTGTTGGAAATTAATTGAATAGATTTTCCATTTTGAAAGTGTTCTCAACAAATTGAACGATAAAATAAACAGTTAAACCTAAAATAATTACAATTAGGGTATATAGGTGGTTGCTTTGTGATTTAAAGGAGATTGTGGTTTATTTTGATGTTTTTGTTTAATGAACTGTCATTGGCTTTTCCTTTGTTTAACTGTTAAAATGGTTAACAGGTGGAGGGGGTGTGGATACCTTATAAACCAAAGTGGTTTAGGGACCACTGCCTTAAAAAAATCCTAATTTCTTTGCAGTTACAGCTGCAGGAGTATGTCTAACAGCTTATCAGGGACATGTCTATTATTCTCTGAAGACTGCTTTCAGGTCTTTTGTAAACTATTATTATTTATGCAAAACGTGAGCATTTGTTTTTAATTTCAGTTCGAGATAAAATATGTTCTGACCTACATAGGACTTTTAATAGGCTTTAATTTGTGGGTCCTTATCCTGCTAGGGGTTGAACCGACATCAAAACCTCAGGGGTTTTGCAGCTAGCGTTTTTATAACTGCTTGGTTTGTAAGCAGAGTTACAGAATTCATAGAGTATGTATAATTTAAATTACATTTCATGGCACCTGTTTTCTTTTCATGCTTCCTGCACGTTTTGGGTTTAGCTCAAAGGTTGGAGCGGGAGGCATGTGTTCTGAAGAGGGCTTCAAGAATGTGGGTCAAAACCCACTGTATGCCACTCCGGTACTCTTAACAAGATCCTTAGTACAGTGTGGAAGACCTTTTTGATTTTTTTTTTATATATACCAGAAGCTTGAATATTCTGTATTTTGAATACTTAGGAAATTTGTAGTTAAACCACATCCTGCAAAGATAAACTCTCCAGGGTAGAGTCTAATGGAACAGACAACCTTTAAACCACAAGTCTTTGTAGTTGAAGAGCTGCTTGAAGACGTCTGTGTGAAAAATTAATAGTAGGGGGTAGGTGATGATGAAATGGACTGAGCCAAAGAGAGGTTCGAGACGCCAAATTTAGGTATCAAGTATCCCCTAGCTAAATTCGGGTGGACCAATTTTAAAACCTTGACCTTAAAAAAGGATGCTTATCGACATGTTTTCACATGATAAAAAAAAAAAAAAGATAAATACAGTCACTCTTCACTTCTAAAGGGTACCTCAGCTTTTTAATACTTGGAATACTTTTTTTTCCTTTTCTTTACAAGTCAGTCTGCTGTGAAGCAGGCTTGTATTAGTAGCCAGGTTACTACAATCAAACCTAAAAATATTATCCTTTGAGGATGTTGAATTAACTATATGGTGTATATATTGCAAAGGCTGTTTTTCGTAGTTTACAGTTTCTATATTGTGCAATACTAGGGAGTTACCTAGTGTATATATGTTTAGGGTCATAGCAACTGCACAATGATATAAAGAAAATATGACTTCTTTTAAAAGACGCGCTACTGTCACTTGGTTTGGGGAAGGATTGCATTTCCCTAAAAAGGCGTCTATTTTGACTTGGCTACAGTGGCTAGGCAAACTAAACAAAGTCAGAGGAGAAACTAAACCTATTTAAACTTGCCCTCCAACCACATTGATCTATGAATACATGTTTTTTTTTTTTGACTAAATATATTCAAACTATATGGTATAATTTCATCAAGTGCTACAAAGCCCATTTATGCTTCATCAAAACCCTTTGTGCATGTTTGCGTCCTGCGAAACATGCAATCCTGAGATTCAAATTAATGCTTGTGGTTAAGGCTAAAGTAATAAAATATGCATGAAACGTATCATAAAATGTTATAAATTTGCACAAATGTCATGAAACCAAGCTGAACCTTTCATGCAATAAAATGGTACAAAGTACAATGATATTTGTCGTGTCATTACTAAAGCTGCCTTAAAAGAAAAGGGAAAAAAGTAGAGGCTTTTTGTATAATCTTTAATAATAGAAAAAGGGAATTTTACAGGCAAAATAAAGAAATACAAATGTTGTAAGTCTTTAAAAGTACAAACTGTTATACAGGGGGAGGAGGTGGTGTGGTCTTAAGGGACAACCAAGCTATTCTGACTTGAACAGATGCAGAAGTGAGCTCGGGGAATACAGGATGTGAAAAACAAGTTTCCTCAAAGCCTGTGTTCTTCAGCATCGACCAGAGATACGAGGCAACCAGATTTTAGCGCTTCGGTGGTAAAAAGGCCGACGATCACAGATTAATTTAACTGTTTACTAACAAAGGTGACAGCTTAAATTCAAACAAGAAACCCAATAAGTGCTGCAAAGATGAAGCGGGTTAGTCATCATTGTCTGTTGATTTGTAGTGATCTTCGTCTATGGTCGAAAAGATGTGGCCTTCGTTACTCAGGAATTCCACTGCTTGCCTGGTAGATGAAAGAAACAAATAACAAGCAATGATCGGCATGTCTAGATTAGCAATGAAAAACTAGTTTAGAATAAAAGCGCTTAATCTAAAGCAAAAAGAAAAGTATAAAGCAAAACATTTTTAAACTAACAGTTTCAAATATAAAGTTTTGTATACAATACAAAATATGCACAGATATTTGTTCAATTTGTTTTTGTTTGGAAGATGTTTGGCGAGAAAAAGATTTCTGCATCTGTGCAAGATTTCAGTTTTAATATGAGCTTCTTTCCCCAGTGCATACCAAATTAGGAGCATATTTCATAAAACCGACTTTTCAATTTGTATTTCCTTCAAATAGAGCTAAAAATATTTCTACATTTATGTGGTTTTCTCTCCATTTTAAATGTATTCATGATCACTAAAAAAAAACTAGATTTGTCTAAAATCTTCTGAAAGTGATTCAACATTCATTTTGATGTTATGAAATAAAAATGTACCTCTTTGTATTCTCATTATTAAACTAAAAGCAGAAGTTCTCTTACTTGATTACAGCAAGACTTATGCCACTGAGTCTTTGCTTCAGATCCTGAATGCTGATGCCTTGTGGGTCCGGACAGCCTTTTATCAAACTCAACACCTTGTGAGAGAAAGAAGAAGAAGAAGAAAAAAAAGATAAAGCAATTATGAACTACTCATAGTTTCAATCTAACAATAATACATCTTGGTTTTCAGAGCTGTGCAAAGGACGGTTAAAGAATGAATACGGTATCAAAGCTTGGAAGACTAAGAATATTGCCAGTTCATTGTTATTTAGACTAACCTGGTTCTGATTTGCATTTAACCCATTGATGACCATTAGTGGGCTCTCATTGGCACCTTCGTAGCTCCCTCCGGTCATCCCCGGGCCTTGGTGAAGCATTGGTGTACTGTTGGCCCCCATTCCTCCACCGATACCTGGCTGTAGGAAGAACCGACCATAAACGGGGATTATGTGACTAAATACCTTCTTCCCACAGTCTGTGGGAAAACACAACATATAAAGCTGGCAAAGCTTATATTAGAGGAAGAGTTCACGACAGTAAAACTTGTTAATTAATTCTAACAAGACAAGTAGAGGAAGTTTTTTAATTTTACTACCATAGAGTAAATGTAACTTCTGTCTCAATTTAGAACCAGGCAGACAGCATTAAAATGTTAAAATATACATTATGGAGATAAAGTGTATATATATATAAAAAAAAAAAAAAAAAAAACTACAACTTAACTATCTTCTAATTGTTACATTTGAACAAAATCTTACACCTAGGCCTGGTTTTTAATTTACAAGCTTTAATGTTTTATTGGTATATTTCATTAGAAACCAAACAAACCAGTTTCTAATTGAAGTGGAAGAAAAAGCTATAGTTTTAAAGTTTTAGTTCAGCAGCCTTTAATCGGAAAACTTTGAACCAAACCAAACATCATTATTAGAAATATTATCAGACATCACTCATCAATTAAAAGGATTTGACCCCTTTGGTGTTGTCTATGTCTATCCCATTCTGCTGCATCTTTCTCTTACTGTTTAGGCTTGTTGACCAGATAGATTGTAAACATCCACTTCAGCTTTTGTTAGCCTTCAACTGTTTTCTTTCAGAGTTGCTCCACAATCTTAAACACAACTTGAACCGTCTTCCCCATCCTAGCTGAAAAGAAGCAGCCCAAAAGCTAAATATTATTCCCACCAAGCTTCACTGTAAAAATTATTTATTTAAAGTGACCTTTTGTTAATTTTGTATAAAAGAGCATTTTGCCTGCAACACAAAAGAAATAAAAAAACATGGCTGACAGGTTCAGGGTAGCTGAGGCTCAACGGCTCTCACTTAATGTTTTTATGCAGAGAATTAATCTGTCTTGCTTAATTCTATTTGGGATTAGTAAAGTAAATGGGGCTGGAAAATAACACATAATCTTACAAAAAAAAAAAAAAAAACACATATCCACAAACACATTTTTTCCACTTTACATTTAGTTGCTATATTTTGATCAATCATTTTCATTACTAATAAAAATCAAAAGAAAAATAAGAAGTTTAGGGGCATATCTAACGACTTTTGCAAGTCCCTGAGATAGATGCGTTTTTAAACGTGGCACAATATTTAGAGGGACCAAAACACTTTTTTCTCTCACAACTTGTTTAAATTCAAAGGTCTTTCTTTGCATTGTGGCACAAGAAAAAACCCCACCACACTGAGCAGCTTCTGATAAACAGTCTTACTTTCTAATAACAGAGATTCCGCTTAACTACACCAGATGAAATACACTAAAGCTCTCATGAGGCTCTGCTGGGTTTCTGAGTATACAGCTAAATGAGGAACTAACACAGAGGGCCTATGCTTATGGACTAAACTGTACTTCCTCATTCTCGAGTATTAAATACAGTTAAGTCTTATTAAAGGGTAAATATCCTATTTCTTACCACAGTTTGAGGTTTGCTGAGCGCCATGTGAGCATGGACAACCTCAAGAATGTGTGAGGTGATTTCATTCATGTCCTCCAGCGGCCTGACACTGAATGCTACAATAGATCTGTGGTTCTAGGAAAGGAAGAGAAACATCTTTAGCTTAGAATAATTAACATGGCTATAAAATAAACTGTTTCCTCATGTCAACGAACATCATAAATACTTTTACTAGTATTAAACAAATGTCTGTCTGTTGATGCAGATGAAACTTCTTATCTGGCAGGTTAAATGTGGTTAACTTTGAATGAGGCTTAATTTTGTCCAACTTACCTGAAAGGAGCGCAGATTTCCTGACACTTTGACATATGTTCCTGGGGGCAACACAGTGCTGTCAACACTAGGGTCCTAGAAAGGAGAAAAAAAAAAATACATAAATAAAGCAAGGGGAAAAAAAGGTATTCTAATGAGGTTGTCTAACCAAGTGAAATTTGAAAGCAGATGATACCTTATTTATTATTTTTTTTTTTTTTTTGTAATTCCCATTTAGTTTAAAAATATAAGAAATAATATGACCCATTATAATTTGGCACCTCTCATAAGATAATATAAACACTGTCTATTAAATTAGACTCCAGTTTTACAGAGAACTCTAAATAGACTCTTAATGGAAATTTGGAGCATTTAATTTTTTTTCAGGAGGAAATAATAATACAAGAAATATATTTTCCAAAATTATGACTACTTTGTTAAAACACAGCTTTGACTTTGTAGTGTGTTTTCCCTTAATGTGTAATATGATCTAAGTTTCAAATAAAAGCACAAATAATACACATAAATACAAGCCAAATAATTTATTGAGTAAAATGTCTTTCTGAAACACTCTGAATATTTTATCATTTTCTGGTTCATCCATGAACCCAACTTCCTTTTGAAGTTGGGTTTAGGACAGATACTTACAACTTGATAGTTCAAACAGGACAAAAATCCTTAAATACACCCAACAATGGTTTTACAATAGGTGAAGAAGCCAATATTTTAAAAAAAGTTTTTAATTTTTGCTTGTATTTTGAAAACAAGAAAGGTAAGATTATCTGTCATCAGGTCATACAAATGTGCTGAATGCATGAGGACCTCAGAAAATCCACAGCAATGCACAACTTTTAAAACTTGTAAAACCCAAAAATGTTCATGTTGATGATAAGCACAAGTAAGTGTCTCACCAAAACTGTAGAAAACAACCACATACCTCGGTGTCTACCCACTGCTTCACGTCCATAGGAGCACCTGTCATGTCGTCCACCTTGTACTGGATGTTGGTCATAGATTTATCTGTGCTTCTTATGATGCCCACAATGGTGACCTAGAAAAAAACATTCATCATTGTGTGTTCATGGTTATAAGTATTCAATGTAAAAATAACGACAACCCCAAAAGTAATCTATCAAGTTATAGCAGCTGTGGGGTGCATGCTGTGGATCCACGCACTCCTCTGGATCAACGTACCTGCGTCACTTCCACTTCTCCCACTCTGAAGGTCTCTTCTGTCTGAGAGGCAGACATCAGCTGGGACACAGTGCAGGGGATGATTTGTGTAGCACGGGTCCTCTAATTTGACAAATGAAAAAGATTATATCAAATTTAATGCCCTATAAAAAGAGATTGTAGTCCATTCTTTCAGACATAACGCCACGAAAACACAAATATTTATAAACACACTCATATGAGAAAGGCTTATACACATGGGAACAGCAGCATAAGGTGGTTAATTACCCTACATTACAGTAGCTCAGCCTTCTTAGTTTAAGAGGTCATCTCTATAGTGTTTTCTGTAGTGTTAAACTCTTTAACATAATAATAATAATAATAATAACTGACCCCTTTCTTCTCTCCTCCCTGGGACAATGCTGGGGATGCAAAACCTCCAGGAGATTGAGTATAACCCCCGACCATCGCAGAGTCAGTGTATCCCCCTGAAAATACAAACACGTTGGCGTTTTTCATTAGTTTGCATGCCATATTCATAAAAAAGAGAACATTTTAACCAATAGTAGCTCAGCTAACATCAAAGGAGCACGCCGAGTTCAAGCTAACGTTGACGACAGTTAGGGTAACAACTGCAAAACAGACGCTTTCAAAATACTCAACAATATGGGAAGTGAACTCACCCTGATTCCACATACCGACACTATGGATATAAGTTATTAAAAATAAACGTAAATGTTATGAACTTTGATAAACGGGGTCGAGGGCTGCGGATAGCAATTGTTTTCCTTCTTCTGCAGTCCCGCGCTTAACTCAATGTAAGGCGCATGCGCACAGACTAAATCCCGCGAAACAGGCAAATGTGGGTTCGATTTTGCCCTGATCATTGTTTGTCAGAACCACAGCTACAATATTATATTCTAAGACAAACAGTTCAGGGACATAACTACTGAGATGTGTTCAATGTAAGGCTTTTTCAATGCGTTTCTACTGCAGAAAGTAAGCAGAATCCTTTGGCATAATTAACCTGGAAGACATTAATCAGGGCAAAAATAACAATATCAGACTGCGAGAACTTTTGCATATTGTGAAATACCAAGCCTAAACTACACATTCACACACTAGATGATAGATAGATAGATAGATAGATAGATAGATAGATAGATAGATAGATAGATAGATAGATAGATAGATAGATAGATAGATAGATATTCATGAAACCCTTGCTGATAAAGCTCACAAATATTTATACATGAGTGCTGTTTAAATAGATTCATGGCTCTATATTGGATATACTTTAAATGGGTTGAGTAGCTGTTCTTATTAGACCCCTATAAAACATAAACACAAATTCTTAAAGGGGTATGAATTCTCTATTAGTCCTTATTATATTGTGAATATTTAATTCCTGAATATTTGCTATTGTTTGTTTATGTTAATATACTAGAATGTTAAAACATTTCGAATGATGGTATAGAATAGAATAGAATAGAAAATCTCTTTATTGTCCCACAATGGAGAAATTTACAGCAGCCAAAAGATTATAGGAAAAAATTGTCACACAAATATGGACCTTAAAAAAATGTATAAGAATAACATAATAGTGAAGAGTTAAAGATAAACAATAAAATACTGTCCTGTAAAGTGTTTTAACAGTATCACTACCAACCTCTTGTTTAGAGGAGAACTTCTTATTCCAGATGTGGTGAATTACATCCATATTGGAGCAACAAATAACTTGGTAGGTTTGACTTAAGTTCATGTCAAGGGTGAAACTGTTGTAACCATGAAACTTTAGTTTTTGTTACTTAAAAGTTAAAATACTACTTATCTTTACTTTTCTTTCCATAATCTGTAGGTTGCGCCAGGTGTTATCCCTGATAAGTTTCATTGCCATGATGCCAGTAAAGGATTTTATCTACTACAGTAAATAGTGTAAATAAAAGGTGGGAAGGAATTTACCATTAAATATTTCAAGAATGTATAGAAAAGAGAGAAATGCTGGAATTATCAAGAATGTCAGTACATTCTAAATTTTTAATTCAATAAAATAGTAGTCACCCCTGATATATTTATTGTCATGACTATTCTTATTGTCGAATAATCAAAATGTTAAAGGCTCAAAAGAATAAAAGTATATCTGAGCTATTATTTATAGGTTATATTGTGTCTATATCTGGAAAAAAAAAATGTTACATAGTAGACTATATTTTTAAAAAGTTGAATGTCTGGCCTGCATTTAAGGTCATAAGTAGAATGTATGACCTCACCCAACTGGGTTTATCTTTAGCCCATATAAAAATAGTTATGTGCAGTGAGTTGACTGCTTTACTCCCTCCCCATGATTATTTGGAGTTCTTCAACAAACTATTTGTTGATATTGTCTGTAATATCAGAAAGCCCAACACCATCAGTTTATTTTCTTCTTAATTGCGCATTTTCTTCTTAAATGCGCAAAGTATGCGCAATGCAGGGAAGGCTCTGATTATTTACCATCTACTGATTTTATCAGCAGAGATTTAGTGAACACATTTCAAGGCAAAGAGGCGTCAATAATTGCTGCAGATATCTTATCTTATTTGCCTTCACGAACTTTCCTCCCAAAGCTCTCCCTTTCACAGAGTCCAACATGTTGTCCGTAAGGTTGCTCTTCTCCTGCCTCTTCTTTGGTGAAGCTCTTGCGTTGTCAGGTAAGAAAAAAAAAAAAAAAGTAATTGTTCAGTTTTATGCATTCATTTCGGTCTCGAGTGACCTTAAAATAACGCCTTACTTTGCGTAATAACGCGTTGCTTTCATCCAGGGAGCTTTTGGCATATCACGGATTTGCACTGGGATCCGACGTACAAACTAACGGATAATCCGGAGACAGTGTGCGCATCCAGTGGTAAACGACCAGCGCTCGGTGCTGGTAAATTTGGAGACTATGCTTGTGATGCGCCATGGCAGCTGATCAACTCCTCGGTGTACGCCATGAAGAAGATTCTGCCAGATCCAGACTTCATTGTGTGGACAGGGTAGGCTATATATCCTCCGTAAAGCATAAATAAATTTTCCTTTCATATAAAAGCACAAATACAGTAAAAGGAAACAACAAATCTTTAAAGTAATTTGTCCAGCAACTTTTATGATTTAGGAGAACTGTTACTATTTATAGTTTTTGTCCGCTGCACCAAGCAGAAATCCGCAGCTTTAGCTGAAGCCCACTTCCCTGAGTTTAGATTGCCCACAAGCTCCTGATTGTCACTACTGAGAAGCTCACTTTACAAACATCTGATGCACCATCTAATCATGATGAATTTGATGAATCATATCAATTGGATGGTCAAACAAGCTTAAGTTAGTTATATAAAAAAATACTTGCATCCCCCCTACTTTAGGTATTTTGCATAATATTCCAGCTGAGTTTTAAATAGTTCTAAAAATATAAAACTTTAAAATACAAATGCTCAAAGTCTAGTCTTTAATGAAAAATAAAACTCAACACAAAAATAAATGCAAATCCGTCTTTCATGTCGCCCAGGGCAGAAAACCCTATAACCATTTTCAAAAACCATCACAACACTTTTGAATAACGCAACCACTTCCCTTTTTAATCCTTTAAAAATTTGTTACTTTCAAACCTTACAGGGATGACACACCACATGTCCCAAATGATGATCTAGGAGAAGAGGCTGTGATCAACATAATAGGAAACCTCACTCAGATCATAAGCCAGGTGTTTCCACGTAAGTGCAACTTCAAGTGACATAAAATGAGCCTTAAGTAGAAGCCAATTGAGGTAATCAGCAGTTATCTATAAAAATTGATCAATTTAACAGCTAATTCTTTTTGATTGTGTTTTTTTTTAGATACTAAAGTGTATTCTGCACTGGGGAACCATGACTACCACCCTAAGAGTCAGCTTCCTCCAGGCCCAAACTCCATCTACAACAAAATAGCAGAAATGTGGCATAACTGGCTGGAGCCAGCTTCCAAGGAAACCTTTAAAAATGGTGACACACACATTTCCCAAAGAACTGAAATCTTTTTAACCAACATCTGCTTGACAAATTAGACACCTAATATTTTTGCCTAGGTGGATACTACACTGAAAAACTCCTAAACCGAGCAGGTTACAGGATACTGGTCCTCAACACCAACCTCTACTACAACCAGAACAATGTGACCCTGAACGATGAAGATCCAGCAAGCCAGTTTAGCTGGTTGGATCAGACGCTTACAGATGCAGCCAAAAACAAAGAGAAGGTATAGAAATTTAAACTATAGTTCCATAAAGATAGGGGATGTCTTCATTTAATAGAGGGGTAGTCTTTATATAAACTTGCCGTAAAGCCGAATTCTCGTAGGATTTGTGCGTTCACAGACACAAGAATCCATCTGGTCACAATGCTGTTAGACCAACCTAAAACAGGTCCACCAAATATGTTTCAGTGTTATAGTTTAAGTTTGGACAAATCAGATAAATATGGCAGTGAAAGAGGATGTATGCATAGTTTCTACCATCACCTCAGTTTGTCAGAATCCATGATCTAATTTTTGAGAGACGAAGAGATGGCATGAGCGCTAAAAGCAGAAGTCTTTATTTCTGATTGTATCTGTTGCTATTCATTAAATTCAGTTTATTTATATAGCTTGTATTCACAACACGTCATCTCAAAGCACTTTACAGAGACGATTCAACTAGATCATACAGTCAAATTGATTAAAAGTTTTCTAAGAAAACCAGTTGATTGCATCAACTCATTGACACAAAGGCAATCCCCTTACTCCAAGCATGCTTGTAGCAACAGTGGAGAGAAAAACTGCCTTTTAACAGGAAGAAACCTCCAGCAGAACCAGGCTCAGTGTGAGCGGTCATCTGCTGAGGCCGACTGGGGTTCAAGGAGACAGAAGCAGAGATACAGAAAGAAGCAGAGATACCAAAGTTAACTTTCTACCAGCTCCACAGACGACGTCGTCTGGGAAACACACAACCTGGCAGACGAGCTCCGAGCCAGCTGCAATGTCAGGGGGTGAAGAGAGCACATACAGCCAGTCACAGTCAGAGAAACAGAACTACACTGAAAAACAGGCCAAGCTCAAACATCCATAAGCAAAGGTGTCAATGGCGGCAGCACAGCTGATATTTAATTCCAGGATGGAGTCACAGCCAAACAGTAATAGACCAGATGAAGATACTATGAAGAAAAGCACAGAGAGCATAGTGTTAGAGATTGAACAAAAAAATTATGAAGAGTGGGAGAATAGAGATAGAATGAAGCAGAATTTAATGTTACCATGATTGCCTGACAATCAAACTTTAGAAGGCGTGGTCTAGATGTCACTCCGTCCAATCAGCATGGAAGGTTCTGCTGAATGTCCCTCCTTTTCCCAAGCAGATTAGTTAGAAGCAGTCACGGATTAATAATCTATACAACTATACCTGAGTCTAACATTATCCGTCTGGCTTCCCAGGCTAGCCTTTATATACAATCATGAAAAAGAAATAAGTAAATCAAGTTTACATGTTGGGAGTTTACCGTTAGCTCACTGCGACTTGGCTTTCTCTCTCAGGTCTACATAATTGGACATGTTCCTCCAGGTTTCTTTGAGAAGAAAAGAAGTAAAACGTGGTTCACAGAAAAATTCAACCAGAGATATTTGGAAGTAATTCAGAAGCATCATTCCATCATAATTGGGCAGTTCTTCGGCCATCATCACACTGATAGCTTTCGCATGTTCTACAGCACAGAGGGTGAGAAACATCATTCATCTGTAACTCAAATGTATTTCCTTATAATTGTTTCATTGAAACCCGGTGTCCCCAGGTCAGCCCATTAGTACAATGTTCCTCAGCCCGGGAGTCACACCATGGGAAACAACACTTCCTGGAGTTGTGGATGGCGCTAACAACCCTGGGATTCGAGTCTTTGAGTATGACACTGAAACATTGTTGGTGAAAGTAAGTAACAGTCACACAAAAATAGTTTCAAAGGGTCTTTGTTTGCACATGTTTAGGGGTAATATGCTCTCCAGAAAAGACTTCACATGCTCACGTCTTTATGCTTTGTACTGTCTTGCAACCCCAATGTGTGAACAGGATGTGGTGACATATTATCTGAACCTCACACACGCCAATGCAGAAACAGAGCGCTGGGAGAAAGAGTACCGCCTCACAGAGAGCTTCAGGGTACCAGACGCCTCTCCAGCCTCCATGCACCAGGTTCTGGAGCTCATGGCAACCGACAGCTGCTACCTGCAAAAGTACTACGAGTTTAACTCTGTCAGCTATGATCTGAAAGAGTGCGACGGCGACTGCCGTGTTGACCATGTATGTGCAGCAAGGGAAGTAGACTTTGAGAGGTATGAACAATGTCTGGTGAAGGAAGGAGCCGTTTCCATGTATGGAGGGCTGCTGCTGGTCATTTCTATGGCAGCAACAGGAATGCTAGCTGGATGGTAGAAATGATCAGCATCACAGTTGGTTATCTAAAACATTTCATACAGACAGTTCCTCCCATTTAATTTATATATCATTAAAAAGCTCATGTTTTTAACTATTCAATCCAAAAATCAATCCATCTATCTATGCATCTCAGGTGTGTCTTTTCATTATTTTGATTATTGCTAATAACCCAGTCATTGTCCTGTTACATCAGGTCTTTGCTTAAGAAGATGGTTGTTCACAATGCGCTGTATTCAACCACATCATTCCATGGTTCTGGGGGAAGCTACGTTTTTTATGATGATGTCCATGTTCCTGTATTAGGTAGATGGGCTGTAAAATCCATTACTGGAAGAAAGTTTTGAACTAGAGCAGATAAATCTTCACGTGAAATAAAAACATGAACTGGGAAAGTGTAGCTTTAGGAAACATTTTGATTGCAGCGCCTGGACAATGTAAAAGAAGTTTTACGTGAAACGTCTTGTTGAATGAATGCTTAGTTTCAGTTTTTTCTGCTATCTATTAAATATATTGTAGCTATAAATGTAATGTATTGAGTTTTTAAATAAAAACCTCTCTTTTCACTAGGATTAATTGGTACAGGTCTTTTGCAAAACCTTATGATGTTTTCTCCCCAAAAACCTTTGAACTTCATTTGGATGAAAGAAAAAAATAAGAGAAACCAAGTAAATACTGTTACTTGTGCATAAATTAAAAATACATTCTGTTGATTGAGTTGCAACGTCATGAGTTGAATTTTTTTTAAACCAGAATCTGTTGCTGAGCAGTACAGATAAAATGTAATCTAGGTTTCTTACCTACTCTTATCTTATATGTTCAAATAAAGGTTTAATGGACTCTTCATTACTGCTTGTAAGCGAGACAACAAAGTATATGATTGTGACATAGAATAACAGACAGCAAACTTTGAGCCTGACGAGAACGCACTTTTATTGAGCTCATAACTGGTTTACATAACAACGATAAAGCATCATGTATCTTAGGTTTCACTTGCGTTTACACATGATGACACCACAATGTGGTGACTGAATGATGAGAGCAAAATTTTCACATAATTAGGACCTGTTTACTGGAAGCAAAAGGCTGCATGGCTGCTTCCAGAGCCTTCTGATAGTCTTGTAGATGCACCTCTGAGCAGGAAGGAGCTCTTAGCTTCCCCTGCTGGATAAGAGAGCAAAGTTCATCCAGCATGGCTCTAAATGGCCTCCCATCTAAGGGGAAACAAAAACAAAAAACAGCATCTCTAAACTTGTTCTTTTTTAAACAATCGTGATGCTTTATTATCACTTTACACATCAGTTAACACGCCTGCTCACCATGAGCGTGATCTTTCTTCCACTGCGTAACCCAAAAACCACACACTTTGACGTCCTTGAAAATAAGAGCACTCTGGAGACACCACATTTAGTTAGTTAAAACATGGAAGTAATCTCTCAAATATTCAATCAACAGCTATAACTACTGGATTACAGACAGCTACGTGTTTAAAGTATCCATGCCCCTCAACCTTTACACAGTCTGTCACCTAAAAGCAACAAGCATTGATCTATTCTAGTGGGATTTGATAGAACAAAAAGTTTGAAAAGAATATGCTATAATAATCTGTTATCCAATGCAACTACAGGCTATTTAGATCACTTCATTATTAAGGAGAGTCCATCTGTGTGTGATTTACTCCATGTATAAATTTACAGTTTCTGTGAAAAAATAAAATCCTGTAGTAAACAGCATTTTATAAAATTGCTAACCAACCACGTGAAAACTATCCACCAAAACTGGCAAAGGATAGCATTACCAATAAAACATTCAGCCAAGGGTCCTACGGCAGCTTTATGGACAACTATGAAGTCCTGCTAGAGGTTTAACACGGACAGTATGGATGAAATGACAAATATGTGGGAGAAGGTGGCTTGAAACTAACATTGCACATCCCCCTGAACACAGCATTCCCATAATGAAACAGGGGATTGAGAGTGTCAAGGACAGAAAGGCTGGAAAGCATTTACAGGAAGCTAATTTTACAAGAGGAGGTTGTGAGGTTCACTTTAACCAGGATAAGGATCCTAAACACAGCCAGGCTTGAAGAGCAACGGTTTAGACTGAAGGTTGTTTTAGATGGCTCTGTTAATGTCCAAACTCATGCAAATAGATTATCTGTCACAAAACCTGTAAAAACAAGTATTTAAGGACCCCCAATCATTTACTCAGACTGATCGTTAGCCATTTTGGTGGATAGAAAAGCATTCTACAAATTTCAGATTTTGTTTATATTTAATTCCTTTTTAATATTATCCACTATCACAAAATATTCAGATAAAATACAAGGTGACAAAATGTGAAAATGTTTAAGAGGTATTAATACTTCTTGCAAGGAACATTTATTTGTTTTCTTACCACAGGGACAGTCACTGGCTGTTTAGACATTCCACCATATGTCACCATAGATCCTCCTACTCTAGAAACAGTAACAGTCATAGAGAAAGGGGAAATAAAAGGTTCTTTTAAAAACCTTAAAATGTTATGCAAAATAATAAAAAAAAAAAAGCTGTTTAAAAAGCTCACTGTAGATGACGCAGCAGTTCTGTTGCACTCTTCCCTCCAACTCCATTTAAAGCCAATTTAGGCTTTGAACATGTCTGTAAAAAAAAAAAAAAAAAACCCAAACAAACCTGTAAACAGTAGGGCAAATCACATGGCCACATATCTTTATCTTTTGCTTATCTTCAGGGCAACACCTTAAAAAGTTCCCTCATGTCAGGTCGCCTAAGACTCTCTTCTTTGATGACATAACTGGCCCCCATATCCTTCAGCCTGTCACTAAGCTGTGTGAAATCTGGTCTTTAAAGAGGATGATGGACAGAAGAGAAAAAATAAGGTTAAAAAAAGAAAAAAAATTCATAAAGGTGATAATGTTGTTTGGAATCTCATTAGGGTTCTTAAGAGGCATGTTATGCATTCAGATTTAGCATTTCTTATAGAGTAAAATAAAGAGTTTATCACAGTCGATTGAGCTCACCTGTCTCGAATAACATTTATAGTGTTTATTCCTCTTGCTGCAGCAATCTGTATGACAGCCTGTCCAACTCCACTGTTGGCTGCATTCTGAATCACAGAGTCACCTATAAGGGAAGCAAGGACTCCTCTAAAGCCTGTTTTATCGTAAGCACATGTTTGATAGTTCAACTTAAGGCTTAAACATTTAGTAAAGTAAAAACATTTTGACGGTGTGGCAAAGCTTGCCTGGTCTAAGATCTTCAAAGTCAGAGAGCATTCTGAAGGCAGTACAGGGATTCACTCCCAGTGTGGCAGCAGAGAGCAGAGGAATGTTGTTTGGCACTGAGATAACATCCTCTTCAGCTAACACTGCCTCTGTCCTCCATGTCCCTGCTCACATAAAGCAAAACCACGTTGAAAGGACAATGTAGAATGAAAAAGTTTTCTTTTAAATAAAGACATTCGTATGGTTTAATTTACCGAGCCCCGCATCTCTGGGGATGACCCAGTCCCCTGCTTTAAGAGACTTCACCTGACTGCCCACTTCTATGACCTGGGCCACACCCTCATTGCCCCCAACAGCAGGAAGGTCTGGCAGGATTGCATATGTACCTAAAACCACAGAAACCCACAAAAATAATATTTCTTTGTTTTTGTAGTCAGAAATTAGGTATAGTATATTTTTGTTGATGCATTATGTGGACTAAAACCAACAAAGCAAAATTACCCTGAATCATGTTAATGTCAGATGGATTAATTGGAGATGCCAGGAGTTTAACCAGAACTTCCTTTGCACCTGTTTGGGGGACGGGTACATGCTCCAACCTGATGAATGAAATATACATATATTTGAAACATCATTCAAATGGAAACCAAGAAAGAAAAACACAAATAACGGTGCAGATCTTATTTCATTTTAAAGAGAATAACAGGATAATCAAGAAAGCTATATATATTTAAAAAAAAATCTTAACCGCATGTATCCTTTGTGAAAAAAAAAAGAAACCTTTTTTTTTTTTTTTTTTTAAACGTTACTGAAAAGAAAGTCTTTGGTACAACTCTTACAAGGGAAAACTCAAATAATAAGTAAAGGGGAACTTTCTACAGCAAAGATTAAGAACATAGGAGGTTAAAGGCCATGATATCCGTCAGTGACTTCACCTAGAGCTTTCTCTAGTAAACAAATAAAGAATACAGTCAGTTCATGACTGTAATAGCTCCCTACAGGACAAACACAGCACTGAATCAATGTTACTTTCTATAGGATTGAAAGAGGAAACAGTTGAACACAATGGTATCTATTGCTTTCTGGGGTTTAGTTTTGACCTAAGCTTACTATTTACTGCCCCCATGGCCTTAGAAGGAGAACATAAGTTAAACAAATGCAGTCTTTCTTTTACACTCAAAATAAAATAGTCTGTAAAGTGAAATTGGAAAGAGCAAAGATGGATTCATGGCAGTCATTTTCAAAATACATTGAGACAGGAGTTTAATGTCTTAATAAATCCAACTGAATGGACTCAATTGAAACAATGGGCAAAGTAAACACAAGACAGACAATGATCAAACAGACTTGTTAAATGATTTTGCAGTCAGGTTTAAAGGGTGAACAAATTATATAAATGTTCATATAACAGATGAAATGTTTTCCGTTTATTTTGATAATTTTGACAATCACGAGGCTAATGTGGTAGTCAGTAAGTAGGCCGGCATCTGCCCATGACCGGCCCGCAAAACGGTTTTATCACTGGGGGAAAAACATTCACCACAACCGGTGCTTCCTCAGGGGTTTCCCGTATGAGAACCTCGGTGGACAAGTGAGACAGCCGAGTGATGAAAGAAAACAAAAACCACAGTGGGGTGAGATATTTCCGGTTTGCAGCAGGTGCTTCTGATGAGGCTTTAGTTTCATTTGACAAAGTATTCGAGAGGGGATTCCAAAAGAAAATGTTTTCTGAACGATGCAAAATATATGTCTTTATTAATATAATAATATATTTGAAGCTTGTTAAGACACATATTCTTACTGAACGACTTGAGAAGGGTCTCCGTGTTTGCAGTAGATCAGAGCTTGACAAGTCTGGGCGCTGCGTCCAGCTGAATGACTGAAGTGGTTAACGTTAGCCTCTCTGTGCTTTGAACACTTTAACAAAGCCACGACACAGCCTCTTTTAGCGACTACTCGCTTTCTGAAACCCACCGAAAGTACTGGAAACCACATCTTGACACAGAAGACGACGTTAAATTTAAAAAATAATGAATTATTTTTAATTGTAGCTGTAATATAGCTACAAAGTAGCATAAGAAAGCAAGTTCAGGGTGATGGCGGCGGCCATGTTTGTTTAGTATGAAGTTTTTGTTGTCACTGGAGATAGCGAGGACAGTGCCCCTGGTGGATTAACGCTGTACTACAGTTGACAAATATAATATTTGTTGCCACAAATCCTTACACTACTGTCTATTTCCTACATATATAGCAATGAAATACAGTGGATAAAAAAAAAAAAACCACGCACTGTAATAATCCAAACCTTAAAGCTGCATGATAGATATTTAAATTACTCAAGAAAGTACTTACATTTTATGTCAGCAGTGGCAATCTTTACAGCGGTCTATATGGATAGTTGGCCAGGGCCCGACTATCCATATAGGCTGGGGAAGCCTATGTACCAGATATTAAAATGGAATTTATCTTCCAGCTGTGTCATGAAAAAATGTCCAGTGCTTTTATTGATGGTAGGGAATCAACTGGAAGCTGGCCTCCCTTGCTGAGGAGAGGGACACTATTATTATTTACGTGTCCCGTGGTCTCCAGCGTTTGATTTTGGAGAACAGAAGCACTTAAACAGATAAAGAGTCATGTTCTTTTGCCCTTCCCCTATTCCACACAAAATAATGCATCACTCCACCTGAAAATGTAAAGTTAAGGGACAAAATCAAAAAATTGCTATGTATATATATAACTATAACTACAAGTAGCGAAATTTGATATGTATATATATATATATATATATATATATATATATATATATAT